TTCGGAGGCAGCCTCTTGTCGGCACTCCGCAAGCAGAGCAGCAGTGAGTGACTCTGGGGTCTCAGCTGTGGTAGCCGGCCTCATTGTCGTGTCCCGCTGTGTAGGTCTGACACCGTCAGCCTGCTTGCCAGTTGACACTTCTGAACTGGTGCTTGACTCCGCAGACTCCGCGGATTCCAGTAAGTTCCATGCTAGCTGTTGAGAGCTTGAAACTTTCGACATAGCAGCGGCGAGTGCGGCGGAGGCTATGTCATCCGCTGTGGTTGCACCGGACACAGGCGTTCTCTGAGCGGTGGTTGTGTTGGTTGTTGATCTTCGGTTGGGCGACGCAAATCCGAGTTGCTCAGGTGGGGCTGCCCCTGGCTTGGGTACGGGACTAACGGCTGGCTCTTCTCGTACGGTTACGGTGTTCTTACAGTTCGACTTCCGTCCTGGCGCGCAGCTCGTGCACTTACGATTCTCTTTAGCACATTTGCATTTGTTGCAGGTGCCATTGCCGTTGCACCGGCAACATTGGCCCTTGGTTTCCAGATGACGACCCCCTGGTGGTCCCTCCATGCTGTCCGCCATACCGTCAAAGCATTGTGCGATAGAGTCGCCCGCAGAGGTACAGAAAACTTGACGACGCAGAGCTCCAAAAACTACGACTCCCTCCCCCCGAGGACTTAGAACTTTTTCCTCAACTTAGAAAAAAATCTGAACTGAAAGAAGAAAAATCTGAAGCCAAATGCTGGGATTTGAACCCAAACTGTCAGATTCTCAGTCAAAGAACTTGGGGAACATACTACAAGAGACAACTGAAAACTTCGGTTTACACAGAAGTAATGTCCAATGTAAACGGCATATGTACATACTATTATACTATTACAATAGTATTCCTTTCTTCCTATAGCGAAGCAAAAACAGTTTTAGGTATGCTATGTCGTGATAAATCTATTATTGCCCTCATAATCGGTCAATATATGAAATATAGACCTCGTAAAAGACCTCGGGGGACCTCGGTCTTTTACTCGTTCTATATTTCATATATTGACCTCTTTAATAGTGCAATAATAGATACTTATTCAAGTCTCTTAGCTATTGAACATGCAAACGCAGCAGAGGTGCATCTACATGTTAAGGATAGTTCTTAGTATTTTAATCGAACCTTGTATAGCCTCCTGTTGTACAATAGCCAGGTCTCCTCCCTGCACAGTCCGAAGGCATTGAGGAGTCTCCCTCACCAAGCCTCCCAGGGCACCGACAACCACAGGGACCACGTGCGTCAACCTGGGTGAGGGACCAAATCCTCGAAATCTCCCGCTTCAAATCATAATATTTCGAGCGCTTTTCAGCCATTTTCTTATTGATGTTGTTCTCACCAGGAACGCTGATGTCTATAATGTAGGCGATGCGCTCCTTGTCATCAACAAGGAGCAGATCGGGCCTGTTTGCTGATAGTTTCAGGTCAGTTGGGACCGAATACTCCCAATAGAGCCGGTACCGATCACTTTTGACCAATGCCTTGAGCTGGTGGTCGAATCGTGAAGCACCAGTAGGTAGATCTCGTGCTCTACACATTTCGAAGTGCACATACTTTACTATCCGGTTATGACGTTCGATGTAACTGGTCCGAGCAAGAACTGGGCAGGCACTGACAATGTGGTCAATTGTTTCTAAGCTGCCCTTGCAAAGCCTGCAATTGGCATCAGTTCGAGCAATTGACTTCATTATGGCGTATTGGTAATTTTTCGTTTTGAGGGATTGGTCTTGTGCTGCCATAATCATTATTATTATTATTATTATGAAGTTGGAGCAGAAGGTGCGACGTGCTCCTAGATCCTGGTGTGCTCCGGATGGCAGTCGTGAGTCAGTCAAGTGTCAAGTTCGGCAAGAAGCGTGTGCTCCTCGTTGGAGCAACCAACTTCATGACATTACCGCCGAAGTCGCAACTTCTAAGTTAGTTATTATTATTATGCTTTATTCAAAGGATCAGTCGGGGAAGTGACCTGCCTGAAAAGAGAAAAAAAACAACGGAACCACCAGGACTCTAACCCGGGACCTTGCTTGTCATGAGCAATGCTATAGTCCTGCGGCCCAAATCTAAAACTAGTAAAAGACGCTGTTTTGCAAGTCCCGTTTCAATCTCAAGCAGACAACCTGAGCTTTGCATGGGTGGAAAGACCATGTCCTAGATCCTAGGGATGTCGAAACGGCTTGTCGCGCATGTCCAGAACTAGGGCATTAGTTGGGGACAGGGAGTCGTAAAAGCCCGGGAGAGGACACGGCACACATTCCCAGAAAACATCTTTGCCTCGCGCTGCCGGGGAACGCTGCCAGGGAACGGTGTTGCGAGGCAAGGAAATTATTTTTCGAAAATTGTGATGTCTTCTTGAAATACTAATTGGGACATTCTCCGATTTCTCTTAGAGCACGGAGACGATTGCTCCGTCGAGTCTTCTGATCTCTATTTTCATCCTCATCTTCCAGCTGCCTCACTCATTCTCTCTCAGTTTATCGAAGTTAATTTATTCTGAGGCGATGTCAATGCAAGACAAATCCCTAATTGTACTTCACTTTTATTTGAGTTGGGGTGAACGAAATGAGATTTGTGGAAAATGACGCCACTTCCCGTGTTAGCCGCTGGTCGTATCATACAGCCCATATTCCATTGCAGGTGATGGGCCAACGTTCGTGTTGAGATCCGCTGAGTTTCCTCGTACTCGTGGAGTTGAATTTGTGGCAGAAATTGCACTGAATTGCAGTCAAATGGTTGTGAATGAAACGAGATTTGTGGAAAATGACGCCACTTCCCGTGTTAGCCGCTGGTCGTAGCATACAGCCCATATTCCATTGCAGGTGATGGGCCAACGTTCGTGTTGAGATCCGCTGAGTTTCCTCGTACTCGTGGAGTTGAATTTGTGGCAGAAATTGCACTGAATTGCAGTCAAATGGTTGTGAATGAAACGAGATTTGTGGAAAATGACGCCACTTCCCTTGTTAGCCGCTGGTCGTAGCATACAGCCCATATTCCATTGCAGGTGATGGGCCAACGTTCGTGTTGAGATCCGCTGAGTTTCCTCGTACTCGTGGAGTTGAATTTGTGGCAGAAATTGCACTGAATTGCAGTCAAATGGTTGTGAATGAAACGAGATTTGTGGAAAATGACGCCACTTCCCGTGTTAGCCGCTGGTCGTAGCATACAGCCCATATTCCATTGCAGGTGATGGGCCAACGTTCGTGTTGAGATCCGCTGAGTTTCCTCGTACTCGTGGAGTTGAATTTGTGGCAGAAATTGCACTGAATTGCAGTCAAATGGTTGTGAATGAAACGAGATTTGTGGAAAATGACGCCACTTCCCGTGTTAGCCGCTGGTCGTAGCATACAGCCCATATTCCATTGCAGGTGATGGGCCAACGTTCGTGTTGAGATCCGCTGAGTTTCCTCGTACTCGTGGAGTTGAATTTGTGGCAGAAATTGCACTGAATTGCAGTCAAATGGTTGTGAATGAAACGAGATTTGTGGAAAATGACGCCACTTCCCGTGTTAGCCGCTGGTCGTAGCATACAGCCCATATTCCATTGCAGGTGATGGGCCAACGTTCGTGTTGAGATCCGCTGAGTTTCCTCGTACTCGTGGAGTTGAATTTGTGGCAGAAATTGCACTGAATTGCAGTCAAATGGTTGTGAATGAAACGAGATTTGTGGAAAATGACGCCACTTCCCGTGTTAGCCGCTGGTCGTAGCATACAGCCCATATTCCATTGCAGGTGATGGGCGAACGTTCGTGTTGAGATCCGCTGAGCTTCCTCGTACTCGTGGAGTTGAATTTGCGGCAGAAATTGCACTGAATTGCAGTCAAATGGTTGTGAATGAAACGAGATTTGTGGAAAATGACGCCACTTCCCGTGTTAACCACTGGTCGTATCATACAGCCCATATTCCATTGCAGGTGATGGGCGAAAGTTCTTGTGGAGATCCGCTGAGCTTCCTCGGCGTACTCGTGGATTTATGAATTTGTGTCAGAAATTGCAGTCGAGTGGACTTCTGTGCGTGTGTTGTGAGTAAATCGCGACGGCTCCCTTCCTTCAGCATCGTCAAAACGCAACATAGAGCATTATTACGCACTCGTTCCATGATTCATGATAATGCCTGGATTCTTTTAAAAACAATCAATGTGTGTTCCCTATCTATCTACATTGTACATGGTTGCAGGTCGTTATTTATAAATCTTGATAATTTCAACACTTTTCTACTCGTATACTGAGTACGCGGTGACTTGAGCCGTTTAGGAAACGGAAGTCTTGGCGAGTGTTCAAAAGGTAAACCTATCATTTGTACTTCATAACGGAATTGTGCACAAAAATGCACACACACGTTCGCGCGCACACACACAAGCACACACACAAACACTGTACAAACACACACAAAAGTACAAGCACATGTGCACATACACACGCCTCCCCCCCCCCCCCCCCCCACACACACACACACTCAACTCCCCACCCCTGTACTGAGTCTGACAGACATACAATCATGTTTATCCTTCCTTCGCCACCAGTTTCGGATAATGGTGTCAACAACGAGTTGTAAAATATTGGTATTTTAGGACTCCCTGCCCTGAAGACAAGCACAGCGCCGTGGATCGAGCAGATCCGGCCGCGCCGGCCTAGCGTGCTTCACTTTCTGGCCGAGGCAAACATCGTCCGCGTGCGCGCATCCCGTGTCCTCTCCCGGGCTTTTACGACTCCCTGGTTGGGGAGAACCAATATTTTAGATTTCGTTAGGTAAGTCGTTATTTTACGACTCATTGATTGAAATTGTCAGCATGTGATACGATTATTTTATTGAAAATTGGTGCCGTCGATGTGATTTTGTTCTTGTGTTTGGATGATTTGCAGATCATGGTTGCCCTTTGCCGAGTGTTCATTTCCTATTGATGGTGATTAGAGATGTCACAGATTGATTTGTTGTAAAATTTGATGAACATTACCCCAAACACGGATCTTTCGTATGAGAGGATTTCATTTATTGGGACACTATCTCGACAACACCAGCGGAAGAGAGCTAGCACGAGCGAAGCAAAGGATACCCAAAAACGGCAGAGTGATAGCGATCATAAGCCGATCTTGGCAAACGAGCGATATGGAAGATGTTGTAAATAATAGCGAAGTAGATTATTTTGTCATTTGCTGCAGAGTTTAAAATTACAATTCAAATTCAAATCAATTCAAAATTAATTCAAAAACTTCAATAGTACGGTCCACCAGCCTTAGCTTTCAGACTCACTGTCCGATTCACAATCGGACTTACAGTTCAATCCACTGTCAAAACTGCCCTCACCCTCATCATGGCATTGTGCGCATGCGCGCGCACACACCGGACAACACATGGCATTGTGCGCGTGCGCGCGCACACACAAACCCCACACGCACGCACACACACACTAGGCCTTGACAGATTATGCTAGCATAATTTTTCGCATGATTCCTACCAAAATCGAATAATGGCATAATTCGAGGCAAATTGCATACGAATCGCATAAAATTGGAATAGTCCGCCTGTTCGCATCAAATTCCATACAGTTGTACATGTTCTACAAATACAAGTACAAGTAGATGCACCAGGAAGTCGTAGGTTTACGACTCCCTCGAGAACATGTCCAGTCCACTACAATCAGTGACGGTCGTAGCTAGGTCGGACGGTGCGTTGACCCCGTTGAACTTTTGCTACTACAGTACAACGCCCTCTACAAAAAAATTCCCCTGTTATTTTGCACGGAACTATTATACATTAGCAGCATATGTGAGCAAAATGCGGCATAATATGATTAGACTTTTAGCATAAAAATAGCATAATACTGCAATTTTTTCAGCAATGCGAAAAGCATAATTTCACGAAAATATTAGCATAATCTGTCAAGGCCTAACACACACCGCACATCACATGGCATTGTGTTTGCGTGTCCGCGCTCGCACACACGCACAACACATAGCACGCTAAAGATCAGCAAGAACCTGCTGCGACTGTGGCTGAGATAGCGCTGTAGAAGACACCGCAGCCGCCACTGGTTGCCTCGCACCCGAGGTTGTAGTCAAAGCCGTACTAGCCGACACATCCGTACCTAGAGATGAAACTGATCCACTGGTGTTTACCTGAAGCGACGGAGTAGTGGATCCTTTGAAGCCGAAATGAGTGGGCGACACGACATTGGCGCGGACAAGCCCAGCGGATATCGCAGCAGGCCTATCGTAACTCCTGGCAGTGAGCCTATCGTAATTCCTGGCAGTGGGCCCGTCGTAACTCCTGGCATTGGGCCGTTCTCTTGCCGGACATTGGGGTGCGGAGTGGACGTGGATGCGGGCAGGAAATCTGTAGCGACCGGATGGACTGGGATGGTTGGAGTCGGGCCAGGTGTATCACTAGTATGACTGTTCGGCAATGACTGGGTATTACCGGCCATCGGACCGTTTGCAGATGACACAGACAAGTGGTTGCTCCGTGAAGAGGAGCCCTGTATACCCATGCCATTTACCATACATGTCAATTGCTGAAGGAGATACACAGTTCAAACACAAAACGCAAATAAACACGCCAATGAAATTCGATCCTTAAACAAGTCAAGTTCGCATGTCCGCGTTACCACGGGCTATACAATTGTGTTTAGAAAACAACCAGTTTATAATTCTGTCTCTTCTTGCATAAAAGTCAGCCTAGAATACTGACGTCTGCTTTGAACATTACTCTGACTCGGACCACACGCCCTGGTTTATTCTGACCTACATGTTTACCATGTGAAGTAGCGCGAGAGCCAAGCTGGTCATAATAATACGTGTAACAGCCACGAGCGTACTTCAACCAAAGAAGACTACCACATAACATGAGCATGAACACTTGCATTCCATTTAATACATTCCTATGTTGTAGATGTCAGGCACTGTAGTGTTTACGTCTACATACACATTGTGGTATTCCTTGGCCACTCAGACATTCATGATAGTAGTGCATCGTGTTATGTTATGCATGCAGCATGTGCCGTTTCCCGAGTGAGCGCGTGTGAAATGAACGTAGCGGCTTTTAGTTGTTGTGCTTGAGTTGAGTCTGGACTCTTGTTGTTTTGGGGTGAAGAAATAAAGAATACTACAGGCACGTGTTGGTATTGTCATGATCTGGTGTGTACACGCGATCAGGTGATCTTGTAGTTGAGCGTATGTGTTATTCGGATTTCCTTGGTCATGATCAAAAAATAAAACATGATCAAATTATGTCTACACATTCAACAATGCCAAGAACTCACCTGGTCCCCTAGTAGCTCATTATCTTCTTTTTCAGCATGAAAGTTGGATACAGTGTACTAGGGCGGAGTGTGATGGTATACCACGTACGCATATGCCATGTACAATGTGATTGTCGTGTGAGTGGATTTTTACGTACCCCACCAAGGGGCCAGCATAGCAAGTGTCCATTTTCCGAAGAGCTCTTGTGCTGCTAAACATACAGTGACAGGTATTACCGGTGTACTCACATCTTCAGACCTTGCATTGCGCAACAGCCGCACAAGGACCTCTACGCCTCCTGCTTCACAAACAGCATACTGTGGGCAAAGAGGAGACAGAAGACAGATTTACACTCTAAACATTTTCCTGAAGTAAAAAATGCCCTCCCCTCCTTTTACAAATCCACACGCATTCCTATTGTGGGAAATCGTAAACAACTCCAACTATATTCTAGACATTCGATCCTGATGGCAGTCAAAATTTAGCCGCCACAGTAAGGTTCTAAATTCCATGTTACCGCTGCACTTGCTCAACAAGCATTGACCACATTATAAAAGAACGGCCCCACAGCTAGGTGACTCATACCTTATTAGGGACGCTGTGAGGACGGTATGACATGTTTCTTAGCACACCCACGGCAGCGTGCTGCACCATTTCATCTCTCTGCAAAATGAGACCGACCAAGGCTGGTGTGGCACCAAGATCCCTGCAAGGAAGAAGACACACACATTCACAAAATGGTCAATTGCTGGCATGTCGTTGGTGGATAATTCTCAATTTGAAGCAGCAGCAGCAACAGCAACAGGAGAGGCAGCAGCAACAACAGGAGCAACAGCAGAAGTAACAGTAAAATCAGCATTAGCGAAAGCAGTAACAGGGGAAGCAGCAGAAATAGCGGCAGCAGCAGCAGGAACAGCAGCCGCAGCAGAAATTGTAGCAGCAGCAGCAAGAACAACAACAACAACAACAACAACAACAACAACAACAACAACAACAACAACAACAACAACAACAACAACAACAGCACGGGGAGCAGCAGCAGCAGCAGCAGCAGCAGCAGTAGAAGACTAGATAGTTACTTGGCCAACTGAAAGTTGGAACAAACCTCCAGCTTACTTGTAGATTTACAGTCTCTAATTGATAATGATACGGTACTTCTCTGATGTTTCAAGTAAACATCAAAATTAAAAAAACTTGCATTGCTACCATATAGGCTCTCCCAATGGGAGGGAGTCAGCCTTCATTCTATGCTGTGATTGTCTGCTTTGCTCCTCACCTCAGTTGAGTTTTGACATGGTCGTTGGTACACGATGCATGCTAAAGATACCCAGCGGCGTTGGCAACCACCATCGTACCGCGGCTGTTGAGGAACCCCACCACGTCGTGCAGTGATAGCTGATACGCTGGCGACCGGCCTGGCTGCTGCTGCTGCTGCCTAGATGAGTGCGACTGCGACTGCTGAGATTACTGGGAGTGCGCACCTGCCCGAGAACTCTGCGCTGACTCGTTTCTTGCCGTCTGATAGTCATGTCCGTCCTCTACAAAGCAAGAATGAATAAAATCATGCATATGAATGTTCATGATTGTCCTGGTGCGGCCAGGGACACTGGCCTTGCAACGGTGAGCACTGCTGGTCCTTTTTCACAGTGTACACATGAACTACAGTGCATGTATGAGGTAAATGCAGAAAAGGGCGCCGGCCGCAGTCATCCCATCGGATTTTAATGTCCACATCAGTAGTTCTGCATTGACAAGCAATGCACAGACCTTTGCATGAAGAGGTGATTAGGCCCACATTGTTCAAGCAACAGAAAGCTTTACAGCATGGAAAACTACCCACAAAAGTAAAACATAATCAAGTAGGGCGTACAATGCCCGTAAAAGGCAGAGCTTCCCACATTGTTTTCCCCTCCTTGCCTCACTAGTCCACCCTGTGTTCAGGCTACCTGTGTTGGACCTCCAGCTTTCTGATTAACATTTCAAACACGCTACAATGCAAGTTTACGTGTTGATTCCCTACAGGAATGGTGGGGAGGGGGGGGGGGGGTTGGATATACATGTCAGCTCACCTGATGGGGTTTCCGAATGGTCCATGGCCTGGGCAGCAATGGCCTGTCGTGAGTGGCTGTTCATTCCCCTGATCGCCAGTGCTACCTCCTGTTCCTGAGATTCCTGCCGTTTAACTGGGTGTCGGGCCCGCGATTGATGTTGCGCTGATGCACCATCTGGCTGTTCATTGTACCGGGACGGAATGCTTGAAATATTCTGATAGCTGCCATCGTCTGTCCGATTTCCCCGGGCCAGGCTATTGTACTGGCCGAGGTGTTGATTGGCGAGACTGGCAGGTAGCGCAGCTTCGTCACTGTACCAGGACGGCGGTGACCTCAGTGGTGATATCGTGCTGTCCTTTCCCACACTGGGATTGGCTGCTGCAGCCGCACCATAGCCGCGAGGGTCGGCTTCCAACTCGGGAATAGGGTCAATGGACGATGCACGGCGTGGCAGTGTGCTCTCCCCATCGCCGCCACGTCACATGCTGTCATTGCTGCCGTACCGACCCCTGGTTTGGCTTCCTCCAGTCAACACACTGAGTCTCAGGTCTGAATGCACGCATAGGAACAGCAAGACAAATACTTCAGATACGATTGCAAAGAACAGAAACCATCACCCTGTGCTGTTGTGAAGCAAATGCATGTGCACTGAGTACACCTTCCACCTTGCCTTGCCGATTAGCACCATGATATTACGACACTATACTTAAGTTGCTGGCCTGGGAGAAGGATTATCTATTCACTCCCTGATTCATTTGAAAGTGCAAATGCCATTCTATCACTATTATCTTACTTTGAATACTAGGGACAGGACCATGCTAATACAAATACAATGTAACGAGAAGTGACAAGAGGTAGAGAGGACAATTGCAAGTGTCCACCCAAGATGGCCGTCACCTTTTTCCAGAGCAAGTTGTCCAATACCCGGCAGGTACAACCTGCTCTTGTACATTAGTTAGTATGACGTTACACATGGCCTTCCCTGCAGGGCGGGCACCAGCATGGGTACAGTTGTAGTGGACCTGCAACGCAAAACCTGATGGCGGGAAAAATGACGTATATGTCCCATTATCGGCCCCCAGTCCATAAAACACATAAACGCGGGGAATATTGCATAACAGAGTTCAGTCTTGTTCCAGTGTTCCATAGCATGTGCATACCTTTGGGAGTACCACCAGAGAGTCTGAATTCTCTCTCCATGTCTCTACTCTCACGCCGCATTGAGTAGTGGCTGCCAAGAGTGGAGGTGGCATCTTCAAACGTTTCGCTGAGCAGAGTAGCATCGAAATCCGCCGGTGTTTCATGTCTTCAGGGAGCACAAAGAGAACAGTTGAGAACGAATTACAGCCATTAGCCATTCGTCTTCTTGGCAGGATTTTCACTTGAAAGTCATTAAACCTTCCCCACTGAATACGTAGTATATAGCAAGAGCAAGACCTTAGCTAGTGTTAGAAGAGAATGCCAAAGAAGCCCACAAAGAGCCTGATATCCACTGTGTAGAAAGGAAGATCCCATAACAGCAGTACAGAGAATAACCCATCACAGCAGTACAGAGAATATCCCATCACAGCAGTACAGAGAATATCCCATCACAGCAGTACAGAGAATAACCCATCACAGCAGTACAGAGAATATCCCATCACAGTAGTACAGAGAATATCCCATCACAGCAGTACAGAGAATAACCCATCACAGCAGTACAGAGAATATCCCATCACAGCAGTACAGAGAATATCCCATCACAGCAGTACAGAGAATATCCCATCACAGTAGTACAGAGAATATCCCATCACAGCAGTACAGAGAATATCCCATCACAGCAGTACAGCGAATATCCCATTACAGCAGTACTGAGAAGCTCTAGATATACAAAGAAGTTGACACTTGACATGTGTCTATAACTGACCCAAGACAACACACTATTGGTTGGCTGGGAATGCCCGGGTACTTGGTTTCTAATTCAAGCATACTGCTATGGGTATATCGGGACACACCACTGCGCTCCACACATAGTTGAGGATTGCTTGCGAGAAAGTCATGGTTCTACCCTCAGTAGTTGTAAACACAATGCTACTTGGACTCGGATCCTACCTGACAGGAGCACCATCTCCACTTTGCCGAGCTTGCATCGTCTTACTGTACACGGAGCAGGCACACAAGCACAGCACAACACCTTCCGTCACAACCTAGAATGTTCTGCTTCCTACCCAGCAGCTGCAGCTCAATTGGGCTGGGAGTAAACATACAAATAGTTGCCTGGTACTAATGGAAGATCACCTTGCAGCACCGAGTAACAGTAACGAGAGAGCTTGGAAGCTCAGGGCCCTACGCTATGCTTTTTTGCCTTGATGACCTAGACAAAAAAAAAGCATAGGGATGTTATAAATTCTTTAAAAAAATACTTTTTTTAAGACATAACCTGGGATTCGAACCCGCACTATCGCGTGCCCTGCATGCATCCCCCGATACACTTCGCATACATACTAATTCTTCCAAGTTGTTTCACATTGTGATCTTGCATTTGAAAGCCCTATTTGAATATGCATTGTGGCCAGCCGTCTTTGATGGCACGGTACGGTAGGGGATAGGTACGGGACAGGTACGATCGAGGGTAATACGACACCGTCTCCCGTACCGTACCGTACCATCAAACACAGCTGGCCACATACAGCTGCCCGCAATATTCAAATAGGGCTTTCAAACGCAAGATAATAACGTGAAGCAATTCGGAAGAATGGGTATGAATGCGAAGTGTATGGGGGAATGCATGTAGGGCGATAGTGCGGGTTCGAATACCAGGATATGCCTGAAAAAATAGGAGAATTGAAAAATTTATAACATCCTATGCTTTTTTGCCGTCAGATACGGATAGCGCCAGGCGTGACACAAACAAACAAACAAACACACAAACAAACAAATACCAAATTAAAGCTGTGTGGACCCTGGCTAGCGCCAGACGTTACTGAAGTAACGTCTTCTGCATAGCTACGGGAATAATTTATAGTTTTAGTCTTGAACTCTTGATGTTCATGTGTATGGGGAAAACTGAGCTGCTTAACAACACCAATGCACGTGGAATACATGAAAGAGAAAAATAATCTAGAACAATGAATTCAGTACAGCAGAGAGGAATAGCACAAAGAGGAGTGGCCAGAAACAACACTAAAAGGTGTAATCCCGTACAATACAGAAGGAATGACAAAGTGAGAATAAACCTAACAATCATGTAACATGGTGTGCCCACAAACGACAGACAATGGACATAACTAACAAGTTGTTCACAATCTACCTAGCAGCTATTTAGCTATTCAGCTATGTGAAGTGTTTGTCCACTATTCGCCTTATGTTGTCGCAATGCGTTCGATGCTTGTTAGGTTTCATCACCCTTGCACCTTTTTGTCATTCCTTCTATGTGTATGAGGTCACGCACATTGGTGTTATACTCTTCTTTGGGCTATTCTATCACCTCTCGGCAGTACTAAATACACATTACTTGATCATTTTTCTCTTTCCTGTATTCCACCTGATGAGAAACCATGAAAAAAATTGAGGCAATATTTTCGAAAATGTTGCTTGCGGACAGCCTGAGGTTTGTGCTCTCTCTCAGTATGATTAAAGTCCCTGGCCTTGGAGGCATCTTATACTGAGGTATCACTGTAGAAAGTACATCAAGGTACATGTTACTAGTATGTACGTACATGTATCTATCAACAAGATGTGATCCAGTCATCTTGTAATCACCAGTGTCGCTATCATCATCATCCTCGTCATCATCCTCATCATCACCAGCAATGATCATGCTGTCGACCGGCGGACGGCCCCAATGGCTGCTGCCTGGATCGTATCTGAAACAGCAAAGGGAAAGCAAACAACAACAGCAGACCTTGAACTGGTAAGATGTCATGAGCACATCACACCTTGTTATATCCGGGGCTGTGGTGTTTCGTAAACTTGCACAGGTACAGGTGGTTCGTTTTCCTACGAACATTGTTAGATATAAGACTTCGGATCGTGAGCCAATTTGATAATGAGAAAAAAGGAGAAGGCGTTGCGTTGGTGGACAGTTAGTCATAACTCATAACATTGTGTCCTTCTCCTTTTTTACCATAGTTATAAGACTCATTAGAATCTTAGATGCCCATGTCACACACAAACATGTTATTGTTATCCCAGTGTACACTCTATTCACTAGACATATGTTCATATCAGCTTTGCATACAGAGTCTGCCTTGTGTACAGCAGTACACGCAGTACACCACAGTCAGTCATTGGCCCAAGGGTTTATCCACGTTCTGATGCATTCTAGTCCTAGTCGAGTCATAGCAGTAGTACTAGCAGCAGTAGCTTCCCTGCCAGAGCAGCAGCAGCAGTACGAGTACTGAGTATGTACAGTGTGTACCGTAACAGTATGGCATGATGCACTTGACTGGTTTGCATGCGCTACTAGTATCTCATGCATGCAGCATGCACACTTAGTCTTGCTTAGTGACAATGACTTCATGTCGAAGAGAGTCAGCTGATGGCACCAAAAACATGTGTATTCCAGGATGGTTCAGCAACTTCCCCAGGAAGTGCGCCATCTACTTTACAAACTGTGACTGAGAATATTACTGTCACAAACCCATCCCCATCCATGAAACTTGATCAGGCTGCATGGTTGGATGTAGTAATAGAATAGTATCTAGGAATACACAACCGAAAATGATGATCGTATTGTAGCTGAAGGAAAGGTGTGGGTCCCAAAATATGGCCATTGATAAACATTGGTACAAATACATTATTCGAGGGATTAGGGAATTACACTATCTCATTTCCATTGCACGTTCCAGGCCAGGCTTTATCCTAGCTAGAATTGATTCCCGGAATATTCCAACCCTTTCCTGGGAGAGAACGTCTTGCCCATTTTGCTCATTTTAGTGAAGAGTACAGTTTTTGAGAGTGTTTTCCATCTCGGGGTACCATTTAAGTACATACCAATCTACCCTTCATTTCACATTCATCTTGTCATTGGCAGTCGTTTGACGAGCCAGGAAATATTGAATAAATACAAAAAACAAATCCAAGATGATATTGACAAATTATTATTGATAAAAGCACATCGACCAAGCAAGCCTTCAGCCTACACAAATCGTAAGTGGCTTGAACAGTGCTTAGCAATCAGCAATACCCATCCTACCCGCCACCCCACTGTTGACCAATATGAATGAAGATGTCCACCTCTTCTGTGCTCCCTACGGAATGGACAGTGACTAGATTTCGGTCATTTGCGATCAGCAGGGGGAAACAGGAAATAGATGATTGCCCATACTTCCTATCACAAAATAAATAATTGAGAATGCAAGTGATCAGTACAATGTCATGGTCTTCTTTTTTTTCTGACACTAAATTTGGAACTACTAGTAGTACACGTACACTGCTGACAAACAGTGGAGTTACTTTGCAAGGCACATTATTGCGAAATGTACATGTCCATGGTATGAAATGATTTCATTGCAGCACGAAGTCTTACCGTGCTGTTGCCATCATTTCGGCATCAACCTTGCCTCCTTTCCGCAGCGCATGGAACGCTGGCAGCGACGACTCCGACACAATTACTGGCACTGCAACAGCTCCGGCAACAAACCTTTGCGGACGCTGTTCAGGAAGCATGGTACACATAGCAGCAGTAACAGAAACGGAAATCCTTTACCGCTTGCTAACACACCAGTACGTAGGTACTACTAGGTCTACGATGCACCTGCAAGAACCTCTCATATCATCAGCGACAGCCGAAGAAAACTGTCACATACATCTCGCTTCAATACAGGTGTAAGCAAAGTTATTTGCCAACTGTCGTTTTTCTAGATCTTCCCCTGTCCTTAGCCATCTAGACCTCAGAACGAGCACCGTCGGCCATCGAAAGTGGTCGCCGGTTTCTGCAAATACATGAACAAGCCTCTCACACACAGACACCATGCTCTGGCCATGGCTCTGGGTGAATTGTTGGAAAACCTCTACAGAAGAGGATTAGAAAAACTACAGGCATGCCCGATCAAGCACAGACACTGCACCGGGACACGCTCACTCACACCGAAGATCAGTGACTTGATGGCAATCGCGTAGCGCTGCCTGTACTCTCTGGCGTTGATCGCGGTGCGCTCTCAGTAATTGCAGCGCAAACAAAGAACGGCAGCCGGACATACCGCCAGGAAAGATTCACTAAAGCACAAAGAATCGTGTCGAGGGCACCAAGTTTGCGAGATGAAAATAGTACGCCTTCCGGTCTCTGTGCATGTGTTGCAAGGTAAACTTCTTTCAAGGGCGCGAAACGGCTCGTTCTCAGTGCCTTCTTACCGATTTCAGGTGTCCATCGTGTTCCAACAAACGTCACCAACGAAATACGTGAACCCTTCGGCCGACGCCAGCTCCAACTTTACATGTATCAAACTAGGAACTGTGGCTCTAAAAGAAAAAAACGGTTGCGCTACACAGAAGAAGTGGAACACTCGGTACGGAAATCATTGGGATCTCAACTCGATGTTACACAAGTCCACTCCGTACTGCCTCTGCTGGCTCTGGCCCCATTACATGTGTTGAAATGCAAAGAATGTAATCTAAAAAGAACGATAATGGCCATACAACAGCATTTTTCTCTCTGGGTGGCAACACAGCGATAACTGCTTTCCAGTGACAGTGCCCTTCGGCACCCACTACATAATTGTAGTGCACTGTGCACCATATACTTCATTGTACTTGTAGTCGTCATTGTACCGATCAAGCGTCCTGGTGTGGGCCTGGCCTGGCAGTTGTGGCAGGCTGGCACAGTGTAACAGCACGTCAATCATGCTTGTTTTTTGAAAATGCATTTCGCCCCACCATACTCCGCGCGCTAGCGCTACACCTACAGACTCAGTAGTGACAGTACTGAGACTACTGACAGTAGCCAACAAGGCAACATCCCCAGTCTAGAGTCTAGACTCTATCTAGTCAGTCACTTGCACCATGTACCACTCAAGAGACTTGTGTCATGACGGTAGGAAGTCGTGAATAATGAAAGCTATCAGTATCACGACTCCCTTTCCCTGCCCCCCTTCCCTGGTCGATCTACTCTATTGTGGATCTACAGGTACATGTACTGAGGATGTACAAATATTACACAGCAGTGAATCAAACAAGTCTCATTCCGCTGTTACTCCGAGTTTCGTGTCAGAACACTTCATCAGACAGCATATGACCAAGACTAACAATCACTAGAATATATACGGAGAAGGGTAGAAGGCGGCAAAGGTGATGGAGGTACATTTCAGTAGCGCGAGGAAAAGGGATGACAAAATCAGCATGATTATAAGAGGAAAAAGATGTTGAGAGTATAGAGCATAGCCAGGGTAGAGAAACAGCGCGATTTTCTGGCAACACATCAGTACAGATTTGTGCTGCATTGTTACACATCAAATTGTGACCTAGGGTGGTAAAAATGTTGATGGGAATTGTGTTGTGGGAATCACTCACGCCAGGCAAGGGGGTGACTACCACACCCGCCAAGGCATCGGAAAACCGGCGACAGAAGCCAAGATCCGCCAAAGCGCGTGAGCCATGAGCCCTGGGGAGTGCTCACCATTCCCGCGCCCCGCAGAACCCAGCCCCGACCGCCACCTCCCCGGCCCCGACGGGCAAAACAGCCACCCCGGCCTGGCGTGGCTCATGCATTTTGTCGTTCATCACGTTACCCTGCTGAGTTGAAACTTGTTGGCGTGACGACATTTGGAGATTAACTCGCTCCTCTTATTCAGGCGGGTGCTCCTGTCGGCGATGATGATGCGAATTTCTCCGTCACGCATAGGTTGCAGCGTTTGCTTACGTTGCTGTACCCTTTAGCTTGCTCAGCAATCCTCCACTTGATGGTGACCGGTGCGTTCGTCTCTTTTAGCCGCCATACATGCTTGGACAGCTCCGTGTTGTTCCTCCTTGACTCGATGTTCATGTCCGATTTGTGGTTATAGTGTCGTTTCTTAAATGGTGGCTCAGTTGATCCAATGTACACCTTCTGTTCGTTTTCTTTCCCCACGTGCGCTTCATAAACGACCTCTTGCGCTTGGCATCGGCCGTTCAGCGGGCACTCCGGTTGAGCTCGGCAGTTGCATGGCTTTTCGATGCGTTTCGGCTCAAGTAGCATCTTGTTGTGCCCGTTTATCACTGCGGCTACGTTGGGCATACAACTGTAGCTGACCTTGACGTTATTTTTGTTGAATATTTTTTGCAGCTTTGAATTCGCAGGGAAGTGCTTCTGCACCAATCGCAAGAATGTGGCCGCCACATTCGTGCTCACATTCTTGCTGAAAGGCGGGTTGAACCATATCACTTTCCTCCGACGGTTCTTTCTGTTCCTTCCTGTAGCACGTGTCGCCTTCTCCTGGTATTCAATCGTTGAAGCGAATCCACTAGATTTCAGTGCGTTCTGGTATAACGGCGCCGCCTCGTCGAACGTCTGCTGATCGGCCGATATATCTGACACTCTCCGCTCAATCGCCTTAGGGAGGTTTCTCAGTACCATTGGGGAGGATGTAGATATCCAAAAAAGGCAGAAGAGAGATATCTACGTAGTACTAACTTAGACCTACTGACACAAATCACAGCTAGCATTAGCTCTTGGCGGATTACCATGATTACAATGGATTATGCTTCCATAATTTCTGGTCGGATCTTTTTGTCTAACAAATATGGCCCGGCATAAAAGAACTTCTGAGACCAGACGGTCGGCATAACCTTACGATGTTGGCTGAAGATTAAAGGGGAAGTAGGCTGCAATCAATTTTTCACCAGTTGTAGTCTTCGGAGTGCTGAGTAGAATGGTCTACTCTTGGTCCGAGGAAGCTGAGACGCTCCCTTACTGGCCTTAGTTACTCGAAGTAAAATAAAGTAACAACAACAACAACTCCTATATTCCCAATCGAACTTGCGCACTTCCACCGAAACTGGGTGACTGCGCCCTAGTAGAAGGGGATTTGTATGCAAAAAGTCACTAAAAGCGCCGTTTCGTTCTTATAAAAGCACGGATGACCGCGATTGGTCCATATGTTGTAGTCTTTTGGACGCTGAGTCGACTGGCTTTGGTCCGAAAAGGCTGCGATGCAGCGTTCGGCCCTTATTCCCAATCGAACACGGGTGAGTAAGCGGTCACGCGCTCATGCGTACACCAGTCACCTGGTCACCGCGCGTGCCTGCAGCGCAGGCTACAGGTTACAACGTTACTTTTACAGCGTTCCTGTCACTCGAGTTGAACCTTAGACTTTGAACCGTTGAGTTGAACCTTGGTGGGGAAAGTTCCGAAACCATCTAATTCGCAAGCCCACCCCGGGACAACAATGACTGTGAAGAAGAGGTTGGTGCGACTTCGGCGATACTTTTGAATTGTGTGTTGCTCCCTACGTGGGAGCTTGCGCTATTCCTGCCGACTTTCACTTGACTGACTCACGAAAGCACACAAGAAGTCCATCGAACCTTCCACTGGGCAACCCTGCAAGAAAGCACCACTCCCTGCTCAATACACAGTGTTTCGGGGAATTCATCCCTCGTCAGTTGAGCTTGAGTAGTCTGAAGAAGATTGTGCCTGAAAAGCACCACTTATGTACCCAGGCACAAGCATCACCAGGAATACAAACTTACAGAGACGCTCCGTTTCCAGCGCGACAAACACCTCGGGAACAGCAGATAGCAGTGTGAGTCAGTGTCGCTCATGGAGGTGCTGAACAGACGCTGAGGACCGTAGGCCATTCACAACGTTGTTGCCTCCAAACCATCTAATTCGCAAGCCCGCTCCGGGGACAACAATGTGAAGAATTGTGTGTTGCTCCCTACGTGGGAGCTTGCGCTATTCCTGCCGAGTTGAATTATTGGTATGTATAATTATACATGACTGTACATGTTGTTAGTTGGACAGCATGAAGCAAGGTGGAGGACACTGTGTTCGGCAACAGTGACCTTACTAATTACTACAACCATCCACGGTTGGTAGAGCCCCGGTCCGTTGGGACTATCTGAACCATAATTATGGGTGTTGAACCCGGTTCTGACCCTCATTATGCTAGGGGAGTTTTAGACTTCTCCTAACGTCAGTCGTGTATTCTTTGATCGCTCCTGTATGTCGTCCTGTAGTCATGTAGCTACTTTAACCTGAATTGTTTTTCTTACATCTTTTTTTCTTTCACCTTCTGCCCATGGCGTCCCTCTCTCAGCTCGTCAGCTGTCAACAGTTATAAAAGTAGCTACATGTAGACTACATGACTATCAGGACGACATCCAGCAGCGATCAAGGAATACACGACTGACGTTAGGAGAGGTCTAAAACTCCCCTAGCATAATGAGGGTCAGAACCGGGTTCAACACCCATATGGTTCAGATGGTCCCAACGGACCGGGGCTCTACCAACCGTGAATGGTTGTAGTAGGGTCACTGTTTCCGAACACAGTGTCCTCCATCTTGTTTCATGCTGTCAAACTAACAACATGATTGTGTGAACTACATATACATGTACATGTATAACAAGGTTGATCTAATACTTCTATTGTACTAGTATTGTACTAGTATTGTACTAGTATTGGGTTATAAAATACCATACCCACAGTCATGTACATGTATAAATTGGGCTTATACAAACGTTGAAATATGGCTTCTAAGAATTTCAACTGCAGACAATAACAGTGACGACCACGGCACAAGAAGGAAACAAGAATCACAATACCAATTGCAACACACAGAACTACACTGTACATGTAGCTACAAGATGACATTTCACAAGTCGCCTGATTATTGCATTCCCCAAGAAACTCTGAGTTGAACTCTGAGTTGCGACAACTCTGTAAACCTCCTTTGTGCCTGTTGTGTGTTATAGTGGTCCACGTTATTGTGTTGAGTCCTCTCTGCTGGCAGAAGGAAAATTTCCTCCTTGTATTATTAACTACAAGATGATTATAAACTGAAAACCTTCTCCTCCAAAACGTACCTACGGCAACTTACGTAGACCTACGTTTCGTTTCCTGGGTTTGGCCATGCTTGGCCATTACCGTGTTCTGGGTTCTGTATTGCTGTTATAATTATCACATTGCATGAGCTGATTGTTGACAATTTAGTAACTGGTGGTGTTAGTGGACAGTATACTAGTAGCGTAACTTTTAGTTCTTTGGTCCTTTCTCTTTTGTATAAAATTAAATCAATCCTTGGCTCTCCATCCGAGTACATTGTAGTGGGTTAGCACTTAATGTCTTTGTTAGCACGCACATGATCTGTATTTCTCACTTTCGTTCTCACAAAATTATCACATTAATTTTGTAACCTTCAGCACAGTCACTAGGTGTCACTTCTCTTTGGTTGTTTTATAAAAGTCCATTTTTGTTGCAGTGTTCATTGGTTCATCGATGATTCCTGACGAGTGTTGAACGAAAACTTGGTTTTTAGTGTTTGTTACAATTACTGTTCTTCTACTTGAATAATATTCAAGTACTAGTAATATACTGATCCCATTCTAGTAACATGTACAATACAACAAGGTCATGTACATGTATACCCCATTGTGGCGATTGATTCCTAAATGCATGCCACAAGAAAACGGAAATATTACTACTCTTTTGCCATTTTTTCGTAGAAATGGTGATGGCATACACCAGATCCCTGGCACTTCCCCTTCAAAATGTACCTGGTTCAGAGGTCATTTCCGAGTTAGGCGGTGCCCGGCCCCGGACAAGAGAGACTGAGAGGTACATGTACATTGTACATGAGTGTACATGTTACGTACAATTTACATGTACATGTAATTGTGCTAGTACTTCTACATGTACATGACTGTACAATGTACATGTAAGTACAATGACATGTAGATCTACCACCCTGGTACATCAGGCATGGTGGTGGGCACTGGTGGCCTCAGCCTGGCATGGCGCAAGGGAACCTTCCTGAGCAGGTTACTAAGTCTTCATGTTTCTGGTAAAGCGCGGTCCACCGGCTCAGTCTCTTCGGTGCAAGATGCGTGTAGAGTAGTATCACTGACTGTATCGGCTCCGCAGGCCCTGCTTTGTGGGGATGTCCTATACTATGGACGTCTGGTCATGCTATGTGCCTTTGGCGGCCATGCGATGACGCCTTGTCACTCGACACGTAGATCTACGACGACACAGGGTATACCAAGCTGGGCAGTGTCTAGTACACGACCCAGATAAGATCAGAGAGGTATATCACTTCAGGCCAGGGAGTAGACGAAGGGCAGTGCGGCAGAAGTCTGCTGGGTGCAGTCCCGGGCTCCCTTTGTGCATGCAGTAACTTCCGATTCCCATAATAGGCTTACACAAACCTGGCAGGACAAGTCAGAAGACGCATTGAACTAACTTGAAGTCCGACATTCATGTCACGTCGACATGAGTCTCAGTGTATGACTGGCATGTGTGTTTGTCAGTCGTGTGTGAGCGTGTCACCGAGAGCGAGAGAGAGAGAGAGAGAGAGAGAGAGAGAAAATGTTGAATGACCGTCACTTGAACTTCACCGCCTCCTGCTTTGCTGACTTTTGAGCTCGACGAGATTGGAAGAAAATCTTTTCTGCTAGACTTGTTCATACACACTGGCATCACTGCAGGGTCACAGACATACAGTGAAGTATCAGAATAGCCAAACAAACTGGATGTTACATGTATGTGAAATGAGGATGCCAGCGACGGTACAGTCTGGAGCTCCGCCCTCGATGGGCGCGCTTTGAACTACCGCTACATTGCGTTTCAAGCAGAATCATTCGTCCAGTTCCCCGTGCGTACCAGGGTTGGAGGTTGCCGACTCCTGAACGACCAGTGCACGGTGTGATTATCGGAGTGTTATCGGCTAGTCGTTACCATGATGAGATCGAAGAGAACATTGCCGGTGAAGGTGAGTGTGTCAGGCTTTGGCCTAGTTTGGGTGCGAACGAATACCCGTACTAGTAACCGGTACCAGTAGATGAGCATGTCATGTAACTGTTCAAATCGGGGAGTAGTAAAATACCAGTATTTTACTACTCTGCTAGTGATCGGTATACAGGCTACAGCCTACAGGCATGGTGAACATAGTGACCATGGTGACATACATATACACGTAGCCGTTGACAGATAATGCCGGCATAAATAATAAATATTGACAGAATTTGGTACCTTTTCTGGTATGTTTCATGCATCATTGCATGCTGGGTATGTGGATGAAGAGATGGAGCAGAATTCAAGGAAGTGCCTGCCATATTCTGGTTTACACATGTATGGTTCTGCCAGTTTCAATGCTTTTCGAGCATGATCTATTTTTCGAACATTACCGCAAATGCTATTGGCCAACCGGGGACCTGATACTGTAAATGAAAATGTGATGGGCATCCCACTACTCGCCCCCCCCCCCCACCCCCCCCCCCCACCCCCAGCTTGCTTATCCATTTAAAAATGTTTAGGTTCTGCAGAAAGAGAAAGGACACGTGACATGGATACAGGCTATTAACAGCAATCCACCACCATAATACTATACGATAAGAAGTTCGACAACTACATGTACATAAACATGTAGGCACCAAAAGAGACCGCGGTCTTTGTGGTCCACTTTCACGACAATAACACACACAGAAGTCTCTCCTGTGAGCACGGTGGCTCGGCAATGGCTTTATTTATTGATATTATATCCTCTTCCTGATTTTTTTCTTCATAATTAGATGCATAGAGATAAGAAAAATAAGCACAAGATACTGCTGCTAGTCGCACAGCAAAGCACACAGGAACGACAAGATGTTACAATGAATGTAACAACACCCGTCCAAGCTAAATGACCTACATCCCTGCCCCAGGACGGTATCTTGAAAAAACCCACACACTCACCACACGGTCATCATCCAGCTTCAGTTCAATCACAATACAGTAGTATTCTTCCCATGCAGATTCAATTGAACTCCCCTGGCACTAGCTATACAATCTGAAGCTGTACGTAACCATACAAAGGCCAGCGACGCACACACCACCCCCACGTTTTTAAACTAAAAAAGAAAAGCAGTCGTAACTGCCACAGCCACATGGCCAATAAGAAAACCGATAAGATTATATCGATAAACACACACCCAGAAGTCAGGGGTGGGAGGGTGGGATACAAACTGCACCAACGAAAAGCCACTGCGAAGTGACAGGAATGCGGTCAAGCACAACATTTTTGCTGAAGCAAAAAATTGCAGGGAAATCCCAAAATCAGTGCGATTTTACATGAGCCCTAAATGTTCAAGTTACCCACAAAGACACAAGCTTTCCAACTCTCTTTGGCCGTTGGAAAGCGTACCTGCTGAGACATTCAACGACCTAACACTACCGTAGCCCATGGCAGATGCTGGTCGAAAAGCAGTTAAATTGGCAGAACCATAGAAACCTTATGGCAGGCACGTCCTTGAATTCTGCTCCATCTCTTCATCCACATACCCAGCATGCAATGATATTATTGTACATGAAACATACCAGGAAAGGTACTAAATTCTGTCAATATTTCTGCTGGCACTATCCGCCATTGATAGGGACCGGCGGATTCTGCTCGAAAATGTGGCAGATTCTGCTCGAAAAGCAGTGAAATTGGCAGAACCATACAAACCCTATGGCGGGCAATTACTCGAATTATGCTCCATTTCTTTATCCACATACCAAACATGCATGAAACTTACCAGAAAAAGTACCGAATTCTGCCAATTTTTCTGCCGGCAGAATCCGCTGGACCCTATCCACCAAGGGCTACCTAACAGTCACCTACATGTACATGTACATGTACATGTACATCAATCAGAGCTATATGTACATGTACATGTACATGTACACTACATGTACATGTATGTTGTGAGTTTGACGACATGAAACGAGGTGGAGTACACTGTGTTCGGAAACAGTGACCTTTCCGCAACCATCCACACGGTTGGTAGAGCCTCGGTCTGTTGAGACCATCTGAACCGTATGCCGTGTGGATGGTTGCAGAAAGGTCACTGTTTCCGAACACGGTGTGCTCCACCTTGTTTCATGCTGCTGTCAAACTATGAATACTATGTAAACAAAAACAAGGTTTTACAGGTATACTAGTACCTTCAACACATCTCCAAAGCCCAAATCAACATGTTAACAGCAACTTCCACATTTACAATGTATCTGGTCGGACATTATATTAATATACAATCATGTACTTGGAAGGTTCATGCATGGTTCCCGCAACAAACATGTAAATCCCTTAGCAACAAAGAATACAGACTGCAATCTGGCATTCTCCCACCCACTGAGGTTGGTGGCCACCGTGCCGGGAGTTAGCTCTCTGAATCGGCATGTTTCTGCATCTATCTACATGTATCTACCTAGTATCTAATCACTCTTCAGACAGCTAGCTGTTTGGACCTGTCAGATTCCGTCAATGGAGCTCGCTCCCCCCCCCCCCTTCTCTCCCCCTCTGTTTCCCCCTCTCTCTCTCTTTCTCTCTCTCTCCCCCCCCCCCCTCTCTCTCTCTCTCTCTCTCTCTCTCTCCCCCCCCCCTCTCTCTCTCTCTCTCTCTCTCTCTCTCTCTCTCTCTCTCTCTCTCTCTCTCTCTCTCTCTCTCTCTCTCCCTTTCTTTTTTTCCTGAAATTCGTAGTTCCTTCGGTATGTCGGCTTAACTAAGTCTATGCCACTCAGACAGTCGTGCGGTGTTACATCTGACATCAATTTTGTCTGCCCCTCACGGTTTCCCTCCATTCTTCGAAGTAATTCATTCGGAGGGTTACTTTATGTATAAAAAGTAAACTCAGTTCGCTGGACACAGCAAACCCTTCATGAAGTCGAGCAGAGTGGCTACTTGACGATTCACTAAGTCACTTAGTGTAGATCTACGATACACGTTTAGTTCATCTCCCTTTTACTTTAGCGCATAACTGTTTCCGTGGACCTACTGTACCTGCTAGTTGTCAAGTTTAATCAATAGGCTTGTTGTTGTGTGGAAGTATCTCGTCCCATGCCGAAGTTTACCCGACTTGTTCCCCAAACTCAAAACTGGAAGTCGGGAACCTTCCTACGTTGATCCACGTAGTCGTAGATCTACGCTGCTCGGCGAGACGTAGATCTACTGCACATCCAAGAGGGTAAGAAAGTCCGATCAGAAAGTCGATCCCTCGTTCTCAGTCATATGTCCGGAATCAACAGTGTTACATGGTCACCACACCACGGAAGTGCTCTTGCACGTAGTCTAGTCACCACATTCAGCAGAGATGTGCGACTGCATAGATACAGTCACTCCTCGGAAATCATGAACATAATCATTGGACTGGCTAGAGTCCATGCTTTCAAGTCGTGTAGATCTACCAGACCTTGGCTTGAGAGCGCTACGCGTATACCTGGTATACGGAAATGAGAGGCATTTCGACAACGGGCAGTGCAGTTGCGCGCATTGCGGCCTCCTCCAATAATAATTATAGCTACCTATTAATACTACCGGTATTGCTGTTTGAGATGAGAAAGACGAGAATCTCGCGCGCGAATGACATTGAATTGTGGTTCGGAACCAAGCTACCATTTCTAGAGTGACGCGTGCATACAGAAAACGTCCGGAAGCGTCGGAAGAAACTGAAAACCGAGGAAAGCAACGTCGACGAACTGTTACTTCTGCCGGCAGTGAGGATTCTCCGGTTCGCGAGGTGTTTGGGTGTCGTCGAATCATCTCGAACTCGGAGTTGGGACGACTCACATAGTCATTGGCACTAAACCGTCTGAGGAAAGGCGGCAATCAATTATGGTAGGTGTCCGCCGGGCCCCCGGTGGTAAGTGCGCAAACAACTAATAATTACTTGTTGTGATTTGTGTTGGGGTCATCCATTGCATTTTAGCGATGTAGATCTACTGTGCTGAGAGGGAGAGTGTAAGCGTCGCATTGCGTTCTCACTGACTTGCTTCTTCGTGCTTCATGATTAATTCATAAACAATGAGGTTCTGCATGTCGAACTAACTTAGTAACTAACACTTCTACTGAACTGTCGATGTCGCGAGTAGAATTTGGAGGTTGTAAAATAATAATTATAATTTCAGTTCGAAAAATGCGAAATGTTCTTTTCGATTTCTCACGACCTGCGTTCGCTGCTTACTACGTGGTTACTATGGGCAACTGAAGGGTTTTGCACAGACAAAGTCCCGTATTTTCCCCAATAAATGTACAGTACTTTTATTTTTTCAAAGGTGATCAGACATGTACTACTATAGAGACTGTACTAGTATTGGAGACGTGTACTTTTATTATTTCTGGGAAGACTGATTGCCTGGGTTGCACGCGTGGCAAACAACTCATGATAATAGAGAGGTTAAGTTTCACGTAAAATTCTTACGTCCGTGCACTATTACGTCAAAAAGAAAAAAACTCACGTAAAATTTGACGTGTTTTACGTGAGTTGACTGTCCCGCACGTAAGTTCATGACGTGGGTTTTTGGAAGTTTCGCTTGGTTATCCCGATCGAATTTGTGTGAGTTTCCGAAGTTTTATCGAGTTTGTTGGAAATTTTGATATTTGTGCGAACTAAACCCGAATCCTGCCAGGCAAAATTTCACGTCACGTCCCACATGTAACCTAACCTCTAAAAATTACACGTAACGGGAGATTTGCACCGCGTTTTGAAAAAGGGCAAAAACGTGCAACTTAACCCTCTCTACTGACGCTGTAAGGCTGTAAATACACCCAACCATGGTAAGAATCAGTGTACAAAGACACAAAGATGATGAACGGGTAAGAAAAACGAAGTAAGGAGGACCCTGGTATCTGTACCCCAGTAATGCCCATCACATCATTCCGGCATGTACTATTATTTGAGACGTGTCCTTTTATATTTTCGATCCACACCCAACATGTACTACAATTGGGGACGTACAGTCGTCCCTCTCTAATCCGGCACCTTTTGCTACGGCGTTTTCTGCTGGATTAACGAGGGTGCTGGATTAAGAAATCCTGCCCTCTGACCCGGCCCTACCCAATTGCATGCATGTATCATATGTACGTCAAAACGCAGGGTTTTTCCGTGTCGACCCAAGTATTTGGTGCACGGCTTTATATTCTCAATTGTTCTCCGGGAATATACACAGTGATAAAGTGATAAAGTAAAACAGAGAACATGTTCACATGTACTCTTGCACACACACGCACACACACCTGAAAATTGGCAGGACACTACTCCTTGCTAAAATAAGAAAGTATGGTTGACTGCCGTTGTCAGACTGGCGTAGCCTGGCCTGGCAAGGAGTGCACCTGTACGGTACGCGATTTACGACTGCCGGATTATGAAATCAAACTACGTGCAGTTTGAGCGATTCGTTTCAAAAAGTCACTGCCGGAGGCGGAATTCAAGTGCCGGATTAAGATGTAGGAATTGAACGAAAAAAATTGGTTTCGTCAAAAAGTGCGCCGGTTGGCAAGGGTTCCGGATAAACAAGTGCCGGATTAGAGAGGGACGACTGTACTAGTAGTGGAGACGTGTACGTTTAATGGGGAAAATACGGTAAATCGAACAAGAAGTCGAAAAGGTCTGTTCTGATAATTATTTGATACGGATACCAAATTATTGTTCTCGCACCTAAAACAGTCTATGTGCAATTTCGGGACCATTCACCCAACCAACCGCATAAACAACCTGTGCAAAATATTGTTGTGTCCTTTGAAGACTCCACGGTGCAGCACAGAACAATGGTGCCAAACTGGGAGCAATGAACATTTCTATTACTTTATATACAACCTAGCGTAATCAGTGAGATACACTGGGCGTAAATGCACATTGAGTGTTGGACTACATATACACGGGTGTTTGCAGTGCATGAACTCTGGCCAGTCGTCCCCGTACGCAAAATGCGTACGCATTTGAATTTACCGTACATTTCCTCGTGTTTTGGCCAAATCTCAGCGGTACGACGCTGTCGAATTGGGCCTGAATTTGCCCTGAACCAGCCGCTATCGAAGTAAAATTAGGTGTTTTGAAGGCCACACGGGAACACTGCGGCCATGTCTTCTTTCCTGCGTCGTTTGTTTGAAAATCGGAGTGTTTTTGAGCTCGTAGTTTCGTCTTCGTTGTGGAATGGCCGTGCGTACATTCTCCTTGGAATTACCAAAGTAACACCCCCGTTTATTACATTACTAGGAGTTTTGCCGGCAGCCACGATAGTTTTTATCCCTGCTTCCATACGTCCTTTCATTGAACAGCCAAACGAAACTTTGTGGCGCGCCTTAGTTTTTTGTGGCGCGGGGGTCTCAAGTTTGTCACTTCGAGTTGTACACAACAATCACATCAACACCTCAAAGGACCAAAAACCAAGTGAGCAAGTATTTCAACCTTGCGATTCTGCCTGGCCTACTCTGAGTCTGAAGATGGAGACTTCTACTCGGTAGCACATATTTGTATCAATAAGCTGGGAGGGAGAGCGTGGCGAGTAAAATGTTAGGATGAAAAGGGCCACATTCTCTCTCGGAAAAGGTCGTCGTTCCTATACTGGCTACACACTTGCTCTACCCAGCTCTGCAGAAGGCTAGATTTTGCATGCACGTGCGAGATTCGCATCCGCCGCGCACATAGGCAGAGTCGAAATTTTTGTACTCTCGGATTTGCCGCCATCTTGACGAGTGGCCACTGCGAAACACCCTTGATTATGTATATGCCTGTACAAACTTCAATGTCATTATACTCTGGAGTCATTTCCAGTCACTGCATTGCAATCAGATCACATTGTGACAATGAATTTAATGAAGATTGTTGTGGGACACGCACCAATATTCAATAAAGTACCTGCTGTGTCAGTGAGGGGTTCTAATGCATGCATGCTGAGATCACAGTGTGAGATGTTCACAAAGGACAATGCATTGCTGCCTGTGCTCTTTCCAGTCATGTGAGCCTAGTTTGCACCTGGCACTGTTGCACAGCAGAGTGTGTAGAGGGTCTGGGGCTGCATAGTGCCTTACAGGACATTGACTCGCCTGATTGGATTCAGAGTCATTTAGCAGCACTGCACTTGCCCAATGATCCTACAGGGTCTTGTGTGTGTGTCTGGGGGGGGGGGGGGGGGGGCCCATGCAAGCGTTCCTGCGCATATGTGAGTGTATGGGGGGGGGGGCGTGCGCATACGTGAGTGTGTGTGTGGGGGGGGGGGGGGGGGCGCATGCAAGTGTGCATGCGCGGCATACGTGAGTGTGTGTGTGGGGGGGGGGGAGCGCATATGCAAGCGTGCGTGCGCGCGTGTGTGTGCAAGTGTGTGTGTGTGGGGGGGGGGGGAGCGCATATGCAAGCGTGCGTGCGCGCGTGTGTGTGTGTGTGCAAGTGTGTGTGTGTGTGCAAGTGTGCGTGCGTGTGTATGTGAGCGCGTCCGCATGTGTCGTGCCAAAGTTCTCACCTGAAAAAACTTCATGAACATGAATTTTGTGAATTGAATCAGTTGTAATTATCAGTATATATCCAGTACAATACATGCTTTTATTTTATTTTACTCCAAACCAGCTGTTACTTGGAAGGACAGTTGAATGTGCACATACAAGGTTCTTTACAGATAACATTATCCGAACGTAACTATAATTCTCTTGGTTGTGTTTTCATGCTTGCCAGGAGCGCTTTGACGTTGCCTATCACTTCCTGAAGGACTTCTCCCAAGCTTGCAAGGTATGTTTACCTGTGCGTTCCTGTGGTCAATTGTTGCTCTATGAAATAATATGATCGAGTGAGTCACCTAGTGCTCTGCACTGTGCAGCCCTAAACATACAAACACTGGGCTTCGCACTCGGGTGCAGGACACTAACTTATTAACCCTAAACGAGTAGAATCTATTGAGCCTCGACAACTCTATAAACAATGATTATAGTCCTAGCCAAGGTATGCCTACTGTTAATGCTTACTGTACATGCTTACTGTACATGCTTACTGTACATGCTTACTGTACATGCTTACCGTACAGTATCATTACCAAACTGGTAGTAACACATGCGCTCTGTACCCCGCTGAACAGTTTAAAATGCGGTACTTCCATGGACTGTACGGCTGGATAAGGATTTTCAAGTTTTCAGCCACACCTCACATTTTACTGTCGTTCCATGGTTACTGTTCCATGTGCTCAGGGTGTGCACACCTACGTCAAGAAACGAGCAGCCATAGAGAAAGATTATGCCCGAAGTCTATTGAGACTGACTCAATCCACAATGGACATAGATCCCGACACTCATAAAGGTGCATCGTTCAAAAGGTGAGCCAACTCCCCGCTCTCCCTCCCCTCCCCCACATCTACCCCTCAGCAATAACACATACATCTAGGCTCCTACAGACAGACAAACTAACAGATACACACACTCTCTCTCCCTCCCTTCCTCTCTCTCTCTCTCTCTCTCTCTCTCTCTCTCTCTCTCTCTCTCTCTCTCACACACACACACACTCTCTCTCTCTCCCACCACCATCCATTATTGCTCCATGGGGGGGGGGGGGTATTGTGAGCTGGGTATAGACTATATGAATTCATTCCACGGTCTCAAAGCTGAAGTTCAGAGTGCTCAGGGTACCCTTTTAGGCTGTCAGACATCTCTAGCGAAGATTATTTATGAACGGCACGGAGACTATTATCACCACCAATCAAATGCAGGTGCTGCACCATAACTTTGATGGGCAACCATTGTAAAGATTACTGAGATCCTTGGTGGTCATGTATGGTCATTGTATCAGCATGGGCAGTTCTCTGATGTTCTGCTTGCCTGTTGTAGTGCACTTGATCTGGCGTGGCAGACTGTGCTGATTTCCACTAAGGAGTGTGCTGAAATGAAGCTGTCAGCCGCTGCCAGTCTGGAGCAGAGCATAATGGCCCCGCTGACATCCGTCTTCGATGGTGAACTGTACAAGACGAGGAAAGAGGTAGGAGTGAGATTGTTCTGCAACGGGCAGAGCATTCAAATTGCTGCAAAGCCACACAAGAAATGCATATCCAGACCCAGGAATTTGCCCTCTGTTCTGCTTTTTTCATTCATCTGGCTTCGCCCAAAAGGGCATAGTAGAGGGATCCATGGGACCTCTGGTCCGGCTGAAGCCGAGCCAGCCGGGGCAGCTTGGACATCCATGTTCAGACAGAGGTTTATGCACAACCGAAAGAGAACAATGAGCTAGTGACTAGGTCTGGATATGGAGATAAGGCTCCAGGAGGTGCATCGCTTACTTTGGAGAAGAACAACTGACACAGCATTTCAACAGTGACAGCAGCATGGTACCGGGACAGCAACACGATAATATCTACTTCATCGTGTTCTTTTGTCGAGAGGCAGTTTCTTCTTCTCAGTATCGACTTGGAAGAAACCAAACGAGGTATTCTTCCCTTTCCCTGGCTCTCTGTTCATCTACTTGTGTGTCCAGCTGTCCATGCCTGTAACAGTCATCTCATCTTAGCTTTCTTTCTTTCTTTCTTTCTTCCTTTTTTTTCTTTCTTCCTGCCCTCAAATACGGTCAACAGATATCAGAGCAAGGAAGGCAGAGTACGCGGAATGTTGAAGACACTTCTCAGCGACTACTGAAAGCGCAGTTGGTGTTTGCCAGGTGATGTTCTGATCATACAAGTTACAATTTTTTTTCGATGGCAAATTTTTGTCTATTCATAAGATTGAGAGAGTTGAAAATGGAAAAGTGTGAAGAAAAATTTACTGTGACCTTCAGAACTCCAACCAGGGAACTTTGCTTATGGCCAGCGATGCTATGGTGTATTCGTAGTTGTCATCCGAGCAAAAAATAGTTTTCTTTCCCTGCCCACTTTATGTGGAAGTAGTTGATTTGCTTGAGTTGATATGCGTTGTGTGCAGGGAAGCCAATTCATCAAGATAATGACCTTTGTGACTTGACTTTGACTAAAAAATATTTTAATAATCTCGTTCTTGGCATTTTCTGATATGGCCGGCCAGGATGAACCATCATTCGCGATCTGCTGCAACAATTTCAATTATATTTCCTGTACTTGTATGCCATTTCTGAACCTAAAGTTGCTCTCAGGAATGGCAAGCTTGTCTGCTACAAATACATCGTGAGGGCAGTAGCACTGACAAGTTGAAGTCAACTCACAACCAGAAGCTTCGCGACAAGGAATCGGCACTCGGCAAGAAGTGTGAAGAGGTAGGGTGTAAGGATGATGCAGTGATGTCATCATTTGGTGTAGAGGCGATATGATGATGTCATCATTTGATGTACAAGTTAATGCAACGACGTCAGCATTTGATGTGATCAGTATGGACTGGCATCACAAGCACTGGTTTGCCACTTGAGTCAAAGCATATCTGACGATTATCGGCAAGTTTTTTAAAGTTTTTGTTCTGAACGTTCGGGGTGACAGACCTCGACCAAAAACGAATTTAGTACATGTACGTAACAAGCCTGCGGGTGGAGTGATGATCTAACAAAAGATTTTGTGAAAGAATTTTTTTACTTATACAGTACTGTAAAAATGTCGTTTATTATTGTTATGGAACTGCATATACATAATTGATACGAGAGAGCTTGGAAGCTCAGGACCCTACGCTATGCTTTTTTTGCCTTGATGACCTAGGCAAAAAAAAGCATAGGGATGTTATAAATTTTTCATTTCTCCTTTTTTTTTCAAGACATAACCTGGGATTCGAACCCGCACTATCGCCCTGCATGCATCACCCGATACACTTCGCATACATACTAATTCTTCCAAGTTGCTTTACGTTATGATCTTGCATTTGAAAGCCCTATTTGAATGTCGTCGCCAGCTGTTTGTGGCCAGCCGTCTTTGATGGTACGGTACGGTACGGTACGGGACAGATACGGTCGAGGGTAATATGACACCGTTTACCACCTTGATGACCTAGGCAAAAAAAGAATATGGATGTTATAAATTTTTCAATTCTCCTTTTTTTTAGGCATAACCTGGGATTCGAACCCGCGCTATCGCCCTACATGCATTCCCCATGTAACCGAATGGCGCCTAGTAGTAGCATGCACTATGATCCGATACACCGCCAAAGACAACAACCGACCGTTCCTTCTTCGTTATAAGATTCTGTTGATTAAGAAAAGTGTACGGTATTATATGTGACCACCAAAAATATACAGTGAAAGAAAAGCCTACCGAAGCATTGCAAGCCACGTTGGTTCGGCTGCGTTGGTTCAGCTGCACGCCAGTGCAAACATACAGATCGACAATGTTGTGCGGAAACCAAACACCACAACATTTCCAGAAACTAACTTGTTCACACCTACATACAATCATGAGTCCATACCGTGTCTGGTCTGGTTTGTTATGTTAGCAACCTAGATTAGAATGCATTGACCACATGGATTCGATCACACATTCCCCCCTGGTAACACAATAAAACAGGGAACTTGCACTAAAGAGTATAACTAAGGTTCTCCAAAGAAAAGAACCAACAATCCACCAACAGCTAAACAAGAGAACAGCAAAATGCGTAATGGGTTTTGCATTTGCTAGCTTGCTCCTAACTAAGCACGCGCCAAGAAATACTGATAAAACGACACACGTACAGTTTCAGGAGCCATAGCGCTGTGGTGGCTTAATGGCAGATCTGTCTCGAATTGACATGCGGATGCCGCCATCCCCTATGTTGGGTTCAGGACCTGGCAGCACTGATGCTGGCTGGTACAGATAACCACCAACCGTTGCCGCTGCACTGTCGTCCATCGGCGCTGTTGGTAGGGCCAAGTCACGGGCGACATCCCTCTTGATGATCTCCACGTTGACAATCTTCTCCGCTGAGCGTGGATCGGCAGCCCGGGTGATGAAAACTGTCGACGGCGACACAACGCGAACGATGCGCCACCCAGGCTCGTACGGTGCCAGGCATTTGCGGCTCCGGGAAGGCCGACGTAACAGCACCGCATCCCCTACGCTGTACTCTGCTCCTTCGATCACGCTCTCTGTGTCATTCCGGGAGAGCTCTTCGTTTACGAGGTCTCGCACACGTGCCGTCTTCTCTGCCAAGCTTTCAACCCAGCTTGACAAACTGAGGTCTTCTTCCTCGCGCTCGACCAGGAGGTTGCGTGGTTCCAATCCCATCATTGCGGCGCATGGCAAGATTCCAGTAGCACTGTGCGGCCGCACCCTGTAGTAGTAGAGCAGCATGCTCAGCTCTGTCTGCCAATCGCTGCTGTACTCGACCACTTTGCGGATAAGACCCAGCAGCGTGCGATTGAAGCGCTCGGCTCCCCCTTGGCTCTGCTATCGAATATCGATAGCAGAGACGACAACACACAGTTAACAAACTCCGTGCCGTTGTCACATCGAATTACGCTTGGTGGGCCAAACCGGGGGCAAATGCCAACAAACGCCTCCGCGACACTGACACCATCATGGCGGGCTAGGTGTACGACTTCCACCCACCGTGTGAGCATGTCCACACACACGAGGACACAATGGTAGGAACTACTGCGGCTGGGCCCCAGCTCTAACGTATCAATCTGGATGGCTTCCCACGGCCTGGTTGGTAGGTCGCTTCTCGCGGCCGGAGGGTTGGGCTCTCCTCGCGACGGGTTCGCTACACGGCACGTCCCGCAGTCTCGGACGACTTCCTGGCAGCGTTGTGCCATCTGTGGGAAATGACAGCACTTCCGAAGACTGCCCCACATGGTCTCCCAGTTACCATGCCCGGTGTTGCGGTGAGCAGCAGTGACGGCTTCACTTTGCAGTGCAGTAGGCAGGACCGGTACGATCACATCACCATCAACAGGGTCCACACGACTGAGGTACAGGACGCCATCAATGACGCGCAGCTGACCCTTCGATTTCTTGTACAGCTGGCTCGTCACTTGCTTCCCATCCTGTACCTGTGTCACTGTCAGCTGCACGTCTGCATCTACCGCTTGGCACCCGCGGATAGACCGCATCGACGTTGGCCCCTTCATAGAACTTGCTGGTAGCGCTGCTGCGATTTCACCTGCTTCCTCCCGACAAGGAGGCCATGAGGTCGGCACGCAGGTAAGCCGATCTGCAATGTTCGACTCCGAGGGGACCCACTCCACGGACACCGTCATGCCAGCAGCAGCCACAGTGTCCTGAAACACCTGCAGGCGGAGACGGACGAGAGACTCGTGGACCCCCCCCCCCCCACCTTCACGCGATGAGTATTCTGCGAGACCGCGCTCCACCACCCAGCAACCGTCTTCGAGTCGGTCACGATGGTCAGGTTCTTGATGTTCCACCGGATGGCCATATCCAGTGCCTTCAGAGACGACTCGAGCTCCGCCACATTGATATGACACTTGTCTGCTTTGTCTTGCAACCACGAACCATCCTCGACAACCTTGCCATCCTGCGTCAGCACCATGGCAATTGCCAGGTTGGATGCGTCACAATACGCTCGCCACGTACCCATCGTTGGGTCAGCGTACCACACTCCGTTAACGGGATCATCATTGCACAGGCGGTGAACAATGTCGCTGCAACACTTCAAGACAGCTTCCGGTACAGCTTCGCTTTCACATCGGCCGGCTTCTTCTGATCCGCTGCCGCCATCTCGTTCCACACGGTGAACGCCTCACCCTCGAGATAGAGCGGTAGATTCGCCATCTTCTTTTCGTCCGAGTCCCACTTCTGCAAGTGCCCGACAACTGAGAACTTCGCCCAGAATTCACTCAGGTCGTTCCGACCCCCACAGAACGGTCTCAAGAAGCATTCGACTTTGGCCATCTCGCACTGCTACCCTTTCGTCGGACTAATCCGAGTTACAACACAAACTCCTGAGTCCCGGGTTTCGGCACCAAAAGCTGCTGTAACCGAATGGCGCCTAGAAACATGCACTATGATCTGACACACCGCCAAAGACAACAACCGACCGTTCCTTCTTCGTTATAAGATTCTGTTGAGTAAGAAAAGTGTACGGTATTATATGTGACCAAAAAGATACAGTGAAAGAAAAGCCTACTGAAGCATTGCAAGCCACGTTGGTTCGGCTACGTTGGTTCAGCTGCACGCCAGTGCAAACATACAGATCGACAATGTTGTGCGGAAACCAAACACCACAACATTTCCAGAAACTAACTTGTTCACACCTACATACAATCATGAGTCCATACCGTGTCTGGTCTGGTTTGTTATGTTAGCAACCTAGATTAGACTGCATTGACAACATGGATTCGATAACACCCAATACACTTCGCATTCATACTCATTCTTCCAAGTTGCTTCACGTTATGATCTTGCATTTGAAAGCCCTATTTGAATATTGTGGCCAACTGTTTGTGGCCAGCTGTGTTTGATGGTACGGTACGGTGCGGGACAGATACGGGATAGCGCCAGGCGTGACACAAACAAAAAAAACAAAAAACAAATACCAAATTAAAGCTGTGTGGACCCTGGCTAGCGCCAGACGTTACTGAAGTAACGTCTTCTGCATAGCTACGGGAATAAATATTATTTATTCGCTGTCCCTTGTGCTTTAGGCTAAGCTGGCGTATATGTCTGCACTTCGCCGTGCCAACAACGTCCAGCACCTGCATCACTTTGACGAGTGGCCTGTGGTGCTGACCCACTTCAGTCAGGCCTGCACTGACACTGTGTCGGTAGCACGACAGTGCCTTGTTCGCCTGCTGGAGGAAGTCAAGATGTTACAGCAGTCTATTGGCGAACCTGTAAGTGTAATGCAGCCGGTGTATATGTGTGTGTGTGCGTGTGTGTGCGTGTGTGTGTGTGTGTGTGTGTGTGTGTGTGTGTGTGCGTACGTGCGTGCGTACGTGCGTGCGTGTGTGCGTGCGTGCGTGCGTGTGTGTGTGTGTGTGTGTGTGTGTGTGTGTGTGTGTTTGTATGTGTACTGCCCTCTTACCATGGTAACTGTTAAAATATGTTCCCACAGACGGAATTCTAGTGAAGCATTTCTTCCTACTGGAGTAGTTCCATACTGATCAGGCGTTCAGAATCATACTCACCAAATGCCCCAGTCTTACTACATTGCAGTGGAGTTAGTTCTTCAATGATTTTGCTTATTGGTATTCTCTGAAATCTTCCTTGGCTTGGTATTTGGTTTGATACCACTTAGGGTCAGACTCAGTTCTAGTAATCTAGTACTTTCGCATCTTTTTTTCATTCCCAAAAGGTTCTGGTGACGTTACGGTACAAGCCTTGAGCGATCGGGAAGCTCAAATCATCTATCATTTCACTCAAGAAAAGACTGATAAGCTTCAATTTCTTCGGAATCAACTTCCTCAAAGCTATTCTACTAGTGCTTGTGAATCCTTTTTGACAGCGATAGCGTGTTTGTGTCCACCGTGTGTGGTTCTTGTATTCAGGAAAAGCTGCTGGCTATAGCACCCACAGTGAAGGCATTGCATACCCTGGACCTCAAGTCCTACACGGATGACTTCATACTGAGTCACATGAATACAGGCAAGATGGAAGTGAGTGCAAAGCCAGGCTTGCCTTAAGTGAAGGCCCCAGACTTAGCTTGTGTGTGTGCGTGTGTGTGTGTGTGTGTGTGTGTGTGTGTGTGTGTGTGGGCGTGTGCGTGGGCGCGGGCGGGCGGGCGGGCGTGCGCGCGCCCGTGCGTGTATAGCCTTCATGCAACATACTCATACTGTCAATCCCAGTGAATTTTACAAGGATCCCCCCCCCCCCCCCCAATACACACACACACTACTTGGCTTATTTCGAAAAAATGCTCTCTTTCACGGTTTCTGCACTGGACGCGTTTGGGATCGAAAATCTCACCTGCGCAAACTAGCTGCGCAGTTCACGCGCTGAGGTCCCTACTTGTAGCCTACATTGAGCACTAAACATGGATAGTGGAAGGTTCATTGCAACTTCAAATTTCGTGTTTTTTGTTTTTTTTTTTCGAAATAAGCCAAATTGAAGAAGACAGTAGAAATGGCTGAATGTTGCGTCCAGGAAAACACGTTCTACGGCCATCTCCAAGCTACCTGTCTCCCAGACACTCTCTCAGAGGAACTATGGAGGGTCAAAGAGCACATATTTCACTCTTGGACGCAACGTGAACACCTCTTCTTCTGAGAGTGATGTCTTCTCTCCGAGTGATAATGGCGGCGATGTTCACGATGGCTGATGCACTGGAAATCGAAGTTAGGACAATCTAACCGGAAAAACGTCTGAATTTTTCACTGAATCTTCTCTGAAGTGGGTTCTTGCCGCGTGGCAAATTATAGGAAAATCGACCGGGGCGATATCGCCTTGGCCACGCTGTCCTTCGGCGGGAATCACAAAGTATGTTCGAACGACGATGAACATAACGATTCCGCCAGTGTTGACCGCTTCCGCTAGTGTCGAAAATCGGCCGTCGCCATTTTCCAGCTGTGTCCGCGAGCTGCACTAAAAACTCGATGACGCAATGTATGCGCAAACACCCTGCGCAGTGCACGTTCTGAGATCCCTACTATAGGGCTTGAAAGTGACAACATCAAAAGTCAACAAATACCGACAAATAATGACTTCTGGGTCCAAGTGGATCCACTCCACCTACATGTATAGTGCAGTGCAGGATGTGATGGTTAGGCCTCGGCATCCTGTCACACGCACCAGTGAATCTGTTCTGTACTAGATGTGGATCCTCGACCCGGAGGGCCCTGTCCAGTCATCCCCTGAGGACTTTGTCACCTTGCTGTGATGGAAAACCACCCGAACATGCATGGATTCATACAAAAACTGGATCCAGGTGGATGATGATCCAAAAGCCAGCATTGTTTATGAATCCGGGCTGCCGGTGATGTGACAATTTCAAGCGGAATATTTTACTTGATCCGTAAATGCACCGTGGGTGGTAGGTGATCTGCGTTAACTGAAAACACTCTTCTCCACACAGGAACAACCCCCCCCCCCCCCTCGGCAGGCGAACAACCTTTGGGAAATCCTTAAATAAATATGTACAATACACATCTGTTATTCTTCCTGTTTCCTCCGTGTCCTGTGCAGCTTCCTCGTTTTTATGCGTTTGAGGATGTAGTCATGGATGAGGCTGCAGCAGAGGTGTTCTCTCAAAAGTGCCGACAGGAATGCCGGGAAATATTCATTCCTAGCAGATTGGAAAATCTTACCAGGCAGGAGATCGACAGGGGTGTCTACTTTGTGGGTTCACAGCACTTTACGGAGGTGAGGAAAAATCACCAATGTCTCTTGTCTACCGTACTAACATCAACACTGTGTGCTGTATGCTACCTATTGGCTAAACCTACACACACTTGAGAGGAATCGAAAGCATTTCTGCTGTAACTCTCAGTTTCACGGTTTTAACCTCTCAAGTGTGTGTACTAGGCTCCGTACTTCTGCACCTTGGTGTATTGAGCGCTCTCACGAGCAACCACAAGTCCCTCCGAGTTTGACTAAACCTATTAATTTCTTAATTTGTAACATGGAAATTGCGGGCACAAGTAATGCGATCGAGTCCACCAACTAAACCAGATTTTTTACAGTCAGACCTGCACAATCTAGCACAAAACTGACAAGGAGTACTGAGACATTCCATGGCATGAAAGTCATTGTGCCCACAATGTCCATGTTATAAATTTTTTCCTTGGCTCACCATTTGAGTTCTTAATTTCTTAATTACTCAAGAGAGATTGGAAGCTGTGTCGCAACTCTGAGCTTCACGCATTACTACGATCATCAGGCAACTGAAGCACACCACTTGATTACGTTAATTTTTTAATTACTGAAGTTTGCAATATGTTGGTACCCGTGTGCCAGGCAACTAGCTCCCACTGTGGGTTGCAGCACGGTTAGAAAATCCTTCTGCTTCCTGGCAGGACTTGAACATGGTTGCGCATCGGAGCTTCAAGCTTCGATATAACAGTGTATTGCCTATGACGTCATAAATATCCAACCGGAACTTCACAGCATGAAAAAATAAAATCACGCAACCACATCACTACAGTTGCCTTTTTTATTTCCGCTCGACACGAAGTGATTTAGAAAATCTGAGTTCTTCTTCTCGCGATTAGAGATGGATGAAAACTCAATCCGGCAAGCTGTTTCATCAGCCGTTGTGGATCTCCTTGCTCTGATCAATGATCGTCTACGTGCTTTGGAAGCGACAGCAGAATGTAGAAGGGATCTGGCCAGGGGCCAGTTCTCGCAGTCCAATGGATCGGAGCCAAAAACTTTCCAGGTTGAGTGCAGGCACTCAACCCCGGGAAATCGCCAGTTTCTTGGGCATGCCCAAGTCTGGTTTGTCAGGTGGAAGTTTGTTGCTTCCACCTAGCTCCTCGAGTGGGCATGCCTGCTCGAGTGATGCTGATTTGAACGACACCACGAGTGGGCAGGTACCCTCGTGTGTGGACGTGAGCACGGACGACCCGGAGCATGCTCCGGTGTCCTCAGATATAAAACAGTTCCTTCAGACTCGCTTCAGGAAGCCCTTGAAGGGCAAGAAGCGCAGGGACCTAGTAGAGCAGTTTTCCCGACCAGAGGTGGACGTGGCGATCACACCTAAAGCTAGACCATGAGATGCTGAATTTACCTGGTGTAAGGCAGTCATTCAAGAGGTCGCGAGACAACATGTTGCACTCGCTACAGAGCAGCGTATTGGATTGTTTGGGTCCTCTCTCTGCCCTGATGATGGAGGCCAAGGCAGCGCAGGACGCTGGTGCAGGCCTGGACACGCAAGCTGTATTGGACATGGTGCCGGCTGGCTTGTCTCTGCTGGGCAATGCCAACAGTAAGCTCTCGGTGCTGAGGCGCCAGGAGTTCCTAGAGCATCTTGATAAGAGCCTGGTACCCATGCCGGAGGAGCCATTTGATAAAGCGGGCACGGCCCTGTTCGGCCCGGAACTATTGGAGCGCATCCAGTCCTAGGCAGAGTCCCAGGAGGCCCTGGGCTTGGTTGTGAAACAATACAAGGACGCTCGAGCTCCTCCGCAGTCGAGCGACAGCAAGTCTGGCTCTGGAGGGGCGTCAGCGGGTGAACGCCAGTTTTTCCGAGGTACTGGGGTGAGCAGGTACGGCGGTGGCTCCCGGTACGAGCCTTACACCAGCCCGTACAACCAGACTCAATATAGCCGAGCCGGTCGTGGCTATGCTAACCGAAGCCGGATGCTTCTCCCACCAGAGCAACAGGACGGTCAAGGACCGGGCACTAGCTACGCAGCATAGCGGCGGTGTGGATGTTAGTGCCAGAGGAGGTCTGGTCTAGCGGATGCTGTTCATTGTATTGGCTCAAGACTGGGCTTTGCCTCTCTAGCTGGTGTGTTTCGCGCCTTTTCCAGTACCGGAGCTCTGCTCGGTACAGTATGTGTGTTGGCGTAGGTTTCACGCTCCGCATCGTGGCGTACGGCGGTCAGCACGTAGCCGTCCCTCTTAGGATCATTCCGGGGGGCCTGGCATCAGCGGCAGCAGCCACTTACGGTGCAGCCATTCTCAGCTCCGGGGCTTAGGCTATAGCCTGACCTACTGCTATCAGGACACTTAGGTGCCTGTCCCGTAACTCGAATGTTACCCACGCATGGGAATGAATGTGTTTATCCCACGTGTGTTTATGTGTCGTGTGCGCTTTGAAGTATACACTGTTATATCGAAGCTTGAAGCTCCGATGCGCAATTTCCCATTTCGCTAGCAATGGTACATTGTGACGGGAAGTGGGAGTTGTGCTAGGAGCTGAGAGCGAGATATAACAGTGTCCCACCCGCCCTCCCATTATGGGTTGGTGGATATTTTGGGAATGATTCATTTTTTCCTGTCATATATCCGTAGTCTCGCTTCACTAAAAAAGGCAACTGTAGTGATGTGGTTGCGTGATTTAATTTTTTCATGCTGTGAAGTTCCAAAGTAGTGGTTGCGACTTCGGCGATGATTTGTAAGAAAGGTTTGCTCCCCACACCGGAGCTCGCGCTATTCCGCTGACTTTACTTGACACTTGACTGACTCACGACTGCCATCCAGAGCACACGAGAAGTCCATCGAACCTTCGACTCGGCAAACCTGCAAGAAAGCACCACTCCCTGCTCAATACACAGTGTTTCAGGGAATTCACCCCTCATCAGGTGAGCTTGAGTAGGCTGAGGAAGATTGTGCCTGAAGAGCACCACTTATATAGTGCTCTCCAGGCACAAACATCACCAGGGATACAAACTTACAGAGACGCTCCGCTTCCAGCGCGACAAACACCTCGTGAACACCAGATAGTAGCGTGAGTCAGTGTCGCTCCTGGACGGTGAGACAGACGTCGAGGACCCTCGGTCATTCGCAACGCTGTCACCTCCAAACCAACTATTCGCAAGCCCGCGCCGGGCACAACAGTACGAAGTAGTGGTTGCGACTTCGGCGATGATTTGTAAGAAAGGTTTGCTCCCCGCACCGGAGCTCACGCTATTCCGCCGACTTTACTTGACACTTGACTGACTCACGACTGCCATCCAGAGCACACGAGAAGTCCATCGAACCTTCGACTCGGCAAACCTGCAAGAAAGCACCACTCCCTGCTCAATACACAGTGTTTCGGGGAATTCACCCCTCATCAGTTGAGCTTGAGTAGACTGAGGAAGATTGTGCCTGAAGAGCACCACTTATATAGTGCTCTCCAGTCGAAGGTTCGATGGACTTCTCGTGTGCTCTGGATGGCAGTCGTGAGTCAGTCAAGTGTCAAGTAAAGTCGGCGGAATAGCGCGAGCTCCGGTGTGGGGAGCAAACCTTTCTGTGAAGTTCCGGTTGGATATTTATGACGTCATAGGCAATACACTGTTATATCTCGCTCTCAGCTCCTAGCACAACTCCCACTTCCCGTCACAATGTACCATTGCTAGCGAAATGGGAAATTCCATCTGTTTTGTGTGTAACATGGTTCCAGCGAATGGGATTTCCGGTCTTTTGACCATTTGGATCTGATCTACTCAACTCCCACGGCTGCTTTAGGAGTTTTATCTTTGTGTGTGTGTGTGTGTGTGTATGGGGTATGGGTGTGTGTGCATGTGTGTGTGTTTGTGCGTGTGTGTGTTTGTGTGGGTGTGTGTGCGTGTGCCTGCATGCATGCGTCCGTGGCTCTGTGATATTAGGCTCCTGAACACGATAAAGACAAGATCAGAACTGTGATCATGGCAAGTACGGACATGGTTCCATCACACAAGGCCCGCACGAATGTCTCGCACATGCTGGCTTTACGCAAGGCAATTATGCGGAGCAGAGGACCGCAAGAAGCTAGCGCTGGTGTATCAGAAGGGCCAGTTGATTTGGCACCTCAGCCGGTCATATCACTGGTACGTGGCAAGATACCAAAGGATATGCCATGTGCCCCGCAGCCCGAAGCTCTACCTTTGACTCTTTCAGCATCAGCGATACCAACACGTCACCCTAAAGGAAGCACAGCGCCCCAGCGACCGGCAAAGCCTTCAGCGTTGTCCGATGAACAACGCCTTGGCTCTATTGACGGTGCGACAAAGGGAAATGGCCGGCAGTACGAGCCTGCCGAGTACACTGCTCCAGAGCCGCTCAAGAACAATCTCCCGTCTTCAGCGGAGGTAAAGAAGCCTACAAAGAGCCCGCAGCCGATCGATAACATTTCACCGTACGCCTGGGTTGAGAAGAGTACTTTGGATGGCGAGATGATCATACGCCCACCGATACCTGAGCGCCCTGCCAGGCCTGCGATGCCGGACAAGCTGGTACAGAGAATTGAAGCGGAATCCAAGCTGCATGCTACCTTTCCCAGGCAGTCAGCATCCAAAGCGTCCCCACAGCGACCTGCACGGGTACCTCGACGCTCTGCTCCATCTGTTCCAGCCGGCAGTGGTGGCAGTCATAGTGAATCCTCGGACCAATCCAGTGCTGACACAGACACAGTACCCCCAGGCAGACAGGTTTCCTCACCACCCGCCCGGAGTACAGGTGCACCAACCTCACTCGGCATTCAAGCTAGGTCCTTGGGTACTGGTACTCTTGAAACGACTGGCTCAGACCCGCAGTCAACGCCGAACAGGAATCAAAGCGCCCGAGCAGCAACTCATTTCCCACCACCTCCCCAAAGCCCTGCGCCAGTCCCACCTCGACCAGTGCTCAGAGCCAAGAGTCAGGACACATCTGCAGACCGGCCTAGCCCCGACAGTCGTCGAAGTCTACCACCCGAGCCACCCCGTCTCTCACCTGCACAGTCCAGCAAGCAAGCGGCAATGGTGTATAGACACACTCATAAGCAGTACAGCAGTGATGACGAGAACGCCAAGTCTGAGCACCAACCCAGTATCCAAGGCGATGATGCTGCATGCTTGGGGCGACCGTCATCGCCGGCATACGTAGACGTGATTCGTCCACAAACAGTGCCGAGAGAAGCAAACACTGCCAATCGAAATAGGCTGTCAAAGGCTTCGAGTGCCGACTCGGACGTGTGTGCCCCGCCACTTCCTGGGGAGGAACAGTCCGAGTATGCGCTGCCGGTGAGTCCCGTTTCTATGACGCCGGCGGCGGAACGCTCTTTGTCTCTACAAGACCAAGGCGATGAGTATGTGGTGGCATTGCCGTTTGTCACTCAGCTCTGTGTCCAGTACCTGCACTCGGAGCGAGCACTGTACACCGAGGGCCTATTTCGAGTACCTGGTAATACTGGCCATGTCCGTGAGCTCAAAGCAGTGCTCAACACGCACGACATGGTGAAGAGCTCCTGGAGTAGCGATCGCTTACTAGCTACGTTCCTGAAAGAGGAAATCAGGAATGAAAGAGACCCGAACACCATTGCTGGTCTCCTCAAGTCCTATCTCATGGAAAGTAACTACGTTGATGAAAAGAAGTGTCAGCTCTTGGTCCATGCAATCAGCGGACTCGCCCAGAGCCAGTCAATAAGGTCCGGAGAGCTTGTAGCATCGGCCATTGGCAAGGTATGAGGGTTTGCTTATGCATGCTGTCTAAAACAATTACATCTTCTTTGTTAATGACAAGAGTGTGCATGTACGTGTGCTTGTTTGATTTTGCGCGTTGGTTTCTGTATGATGCATGTGTCTGTGTGTGTGTGTGTGTGTGTGTGTGTGTGTGTGTGTGTGTGTGTGTGTGTGTGTGTGTGTGTGTGTGTGTGCGCGCGAAGTGGACTAATTTAAAAATTTGTTGAAGATGCCTTGCTTTCTGTGAACTTCACATCAGGCCTACTAGTCCACCTAACCCAAACATGTATCGTCAAGTCATTCCGAGTACATTCATGCACTCTTTGCAACATCAATAGTACCGAAAATCCGCGGAGAACATTTGACTCTGTGAGCCGAGCGCCTTGATTTCCGCTGTGAAAGTCCAAGCAACCATCGCTAGCCAGTGAAAACGCATGGACGACCAAGCAACCACCAACCTAACGTAGCGTCAGCCAGCGCAACTGCCAACTTCAGGGCTAGGACAGCGGGTAACGACCACCACAACGAAGGGGTTCTCCGTTTGCGAGTTTTTTCGTCTTGCCTGCATATGCCGCTCGGTATGGTGCGGGTGATCTAGTTCTGATTTTCCGGTCACAAAGCACACGGGAAAGATAATCTCTGCGGGCTGTTAACCAGGACAGAGAGCGTACGGCTTGGCCAACCACTGCATGAGTATGCCTGACCCAGAAGCCGTCCCGGGGCCTGCACGACCAGCAGACCGCAATGCTGCCGCAGCACCCAATATCCCTGGACTTCACCCAACCTGGCCTAGAAGGGCCAACATTCGCCCGGCACCAAACGATTATGAAGACCGCTGGCTCCCGCGGCATGTGCTACGGATGCGGTGGCGGGTCCATGTCAACAGATGCGGCCAAGTTACGGATGACATGTTCAACCACCCAGTCTTCTGGTTGCTTCTGGCAATTTCCGCTTTTGGTTTGTCAATGGCTCTCTACTTCTTTCTCCCTCAAATGAACGCCGCGCTCACTTTACTAAGCAGTATCTTCTTACTGCTTATTATCTCGGGTGTGGCGGCCTTCAGGAGACGCTGGATCAAGCACCTCTGTCCAGCCAGGCAGGACCCAGTTGAACCTCAGATTCCGGCTATGCCTGCTATTCCATTGCCACCATCACCGCCACCACCACCACCGCTATCACCACCACAGCCACCACCACCACCAACACCACCGCCACCACCAACACCAACACCCACAGCGAGCACCGCTAGCAGTCCGGAGGAGCCAGCTTGCCGGCCAACTCATCTGGAGCTGAACGGTGTACTGTCCACAGCACCGCCACCCTCGTATGCCAGCGTGTGCGTCATACTGCCTGGTCGCCAACACTCTGAAGGGACGGGAACACCTCCGCCTGCTTACACCAGTGATATTTTGCATCGTTCTAGAACGTGTCACAATCTCTCAGTTCCCCAGTCACATGCCGACCAGGCCGCTTCATACATTATCGTTTCACCGAATGACAATGAAGAGCGGACGATGATGATCTCAAGTAGTATACACCTACGCCTATCTCAGGCTCCTACGCTCTGCACTGCCACTTTGCGCTTGTGCCCACTACAACTTCACACACAAGGCTGGTTGAGTCCTGCCGAATTGGATGTGGACGTAGAGGCAGGTTCGCGTGAAGTGCACGTGCTTCATCATCCGACTCCTATCATAAGTCCAGTGTCGGAGTAAGTGAGTGAGTATGTGTGGTGGTGGTGATGGTGTGTGCACATGCGTGTGGGGGCGGCGCGTGCGCGCGTGTGTGTATGTGTGTGTGTGTCAGCCAGTGTATGCCGGAGTATGTGGTGTAGTGTGTGTGTAAAAAAAAATGGAAAAATGAAAAATAGGGATTCACTGGCCAGAAAAAAGTCACTTCAAACAGCTGTGTGATGGATACCAGGCTAAAAATAGTGGCGGTCAATTCATCAGCCTTGCAAGCTGTTGAATGGTGTAATCCCAGCACAAGTTGCGATGTCTAACATAGCTGTTCGCTATCATCGCTTCCGCGATGGGCATGTCTGAGGTCTGAGGTGTGTGTGTGTGTGTGTTTGTGTGTATGTGTGTGTGTATATGCGCCAGCTAGTTCGGTTGGTGGGTACACGTGGGCCAGATAGTGCTGGGTTTTTTGCCAATGGGGCTTGGCTGCTTGAAGGTGTAATGTTGTACCTATCACCTTTGTTGGTTTCAGGGTTCATATACTTTCTATTCGAAGTATACATACCTGTTGACCATGGACTGCTTCTGGCTAGATTAACTCTTGTTTAATCGCTGGTGCTAGTGAAGCTTATATCAGATCCACTCTGATGTAGCCACCTACACTAGTACCAAGTATTACCTTCACTGGGGGCGGGGGTAACTGCAGTTGGATCCCTGGACGGATACCCTGATGCCGTCAATCCTTTTTCTGCACCTTGTCCTCACCCACTTACTGAGGTGTGATTAGCCCGTAAGTGAGATCATTTGCAAGTCCAGCCGGTTTTCAGGGGGTGTCGGCCGTTCGGCGGTTCAATAGCCAATTGAGTCCTCTTTCCAAGATTCCTTTTGAGTTCCTCTCTCCCCTCTCCCGGAGAGACCCACGTGACCACTTTTGGCAGTGAACAAGTACAGTACAGTATGTGTGTGCGTGTGTGTGTGTGTGTGTGTGTGTCAAATTGAACTGCGGTACTCTCAGCCTGTGCGGCAATGTGCCGAGTGTCGGTTGGTTAGCTCCGTTGCTGCAAAGCACAGGTCATATGGGAATATTTTGCATGTCGTGTTTCATGCCAGCATGGCGTGGGCTGCGGAAGCGGAAGGATTTTTTCGAATGGTTTTTTTGACCACTTTGGCGGTGGGTCTGATTAACTCACCTCCCACCGCTTTAGGAGCTGCATCTGCGCCTTGATCTTTGAGGGTTGTGGCATCCCAGCGGATGCGGAACATTCGGTCTCCAGCCGAGTCTCACGCGAACCATGAATTCTTTCTTTCTTTCTGTGTTCATTGCCAGCATGATCTAGCAACTGAGAAAGCAAACCAAACAGCTGTAACGACAGTCCGAGGAATTATTAATGATGAGCTGCAACCAGTGTCACAAAGTATTCTGGCAGCTGTTTGTCACCTCCTATCCATGGTAAATATGTACACAAGTCGCATGTGTCTGTATGCATGTGTGTGTGCCTGTGTGCCAGTGTCCATGCGTATTTACATGTGTGGTGTGGGCACCGCAGGTTTTAAGCACTGCAACCCTGCTCACCATATTTTACTGGGTACAGGTTGACTACGGTAATAGTCCATCACCCTGCCTTCTCTTTGAACCTCGGATGCTTCCCTATTTATTACAAGTTGGTCGGCCCAAAATTCATCAGCGCCCACACCTTGGTATTTGAGACACACTCGGACATGCTTTAATTTCTGTGGTCTGAAGACTAAACCCGATGGCACAATCGATAATGGTACACAGTCGAACACTACTCTACTGGATCACCGCTGCATGTGGAAAGTCGCTTAGGTTGAATTTTGAGGACTTTCGAAATTTTGTGCAAATTCCTGGAGGCAATTTGCAGGTGAACCCCCCCCCCCCCCCTCCATGATTCTCAGTGAAAGCCGACAGGCCTATCGACAATGAAGTATAGTCGGCGTGTGTGCGTTCATGTGCATGTGTTAAAGTCGATGTGTGTGTGTTAGTGTGTGTGTGTGTGTGTGTGTGTGTGTGTGTGTGTGTGTGTGTGTGTTTGTGCATATGATTGTGTGTATGCGCATGCGTCAGTGCATCAATTGAAGACTTTAGTCGATGTACATCACGTTATAATATGTGATACAGTAGACATATTTTCATATTGTGCTGGTGATTACACTGAAACTGGGATATTAACTTCTTTTAATTAAATTCTGAATTCGAATTCCTCTCCGAAGTGACCAGTAGTGCATTGTACTTTAGTTTATCTGTTTCCCTTATCACTATCTGAAAAACAGTTAGGACGACCCATGTGCTGCTCACTGGCATTGTTGTTTATCAGTATAGTTTATAGAGTTTAGTGTGTATGTGCTAGTGGTGGGAAGGGGAGGGCTGTCACGTGTGTGTGTGGGGGGGGGGGGGTTGTCACAAGAAACGAACTCTTCGTGAAAGGAGTCTTGTTTTGCTTTTGATCAATCTCAGGTTGCCAAGGAAAGCCATCGCAATCACATGACCAGTCACTCGTTGGCAATGTGCTGTGGCATAAGTGTGTTTCCGGCCATGCGTGTTGGACATGTTGCAGCCGTTCTGCAGTTCCTGATCAACAATGCACCGGCTGTCTTCCTTCGCTAGCTGCGACGAGACACACTTGCTATGCCGGAATGGCCTTGGTGTGTGAAATGCTGAGCATCATGCATCAGCCGATGTCAAGCGCATGGATATGCAATATGCATAATACTTTTAAACATGTTTAGAAATTGTGCTTGGCTTGAACTATGGATGATATTAATTGTTTTTTAATGTTTAGAAATTGTGCTTGGCTTGAACTATGGATGATATTAATTGTTTTTTAATGTTTAGAAATTGTGCTTGGCTTGAACTATGGATGATATTGTTTTTTAATGTTTAGAAATTGTGCTTGGCTTGAACTATGGATGATATTAATTGTTTTTTAATGTTTAGAAATTGTGCTTGGCTTGAACCCCGCTGTACTTGAATTCGTTTCAGCATCCCATACACTAGCTTCTTATGGCACATGCATGTTCATGTGTGAGCTTCACTTCAGTTTGTTCGCAATCAAGCGTTTTATGCCCCCCCCCCCGGAGCCTTAAACTGCAACACTGTTGAAGTTTTTCAAACTGACGGAGCTCAGAGAGCACGTACACACACACGTCACACACACACACACACACACACACACACACACACTCTCTCACACACACGCACACACACACCCCAGTAAAAAGCAACGCCTGTTGGGAGTTCCCTAGTAAAATAATAAATTCTACTACTACTACTACTACTACTACTACTGCTGCTACTACTACTACTACTACTACTACACACACACCATTGGACCATTGGACGCCCATCGGCGGAGGCGATGATAGCGATGCTACAGCGGAAGCCATAGCAACTTGTGCTGGGATTGCACCATTCAACAGCTTGCAAGGCTGAAGAATTGACCGCCACTATTCAGCCTGGTCTACACCACACAGCTATGAAGTGGCTTTTTCTGGCCAGTGAATCCCTACTTTTTGGTCTTTTTTATTTTTTTCCCGCACACACATCACACCACATACTCCGGCATGCACTGCACACACACACACACACACACACACACACACACACACACACACACACACACACACACACGCACACGCATACACACACAATTGATAAAACTATTACACTCGGACGTCTCTTATCCGGGCAACTTGGGACCGGGCACGGCCCGTATCTCAGATTTGCCCGTATCTCAGGATAACTCATCTACCATGTATCATATCATTTTTGAAGGAGTTTATTTGGAATGTATTGCACATGTTCAGGATTCAAAAGGAACCCATTGATAAAAACGTGTGGATTACACAGGTTGGCAGTGAAAAATAGGCACTTCCACCTATGGAAAAAAGTTCAACACCCCCAAATTCGAAGCATTTTTGCCATAGGAACTCAAGCTGAAGGTGCCCGGTAGAGAGACGTGCCCGTATCTGAGGCGTCCGGATAAGAGGCGTTTGAGTGTATTAGTAGTAGTATTGCAGCCTTTTTCAGCCATCATGATACCTCTCTGGCCTTTATAATTATGATCATTGAAGTGGGATGGGGAGGGGAGACATTGAGTCATTGTGGACAATGTCACAGTCATAGTCCAGCATACCTTAGACCCAGTGCTAGTACTAGTACTCAGTACTAGTAGTAGTCCCAGTGCTAGTAGTAGTCCCAGTGCTAGTAGTACTCCCAGTCCCAGTGCTAGTACTAGTAGTAGTCCCAGTGCCAGTGCCTACATCATCATCATCATGATAATAAAACTGGTTGATTTAGTTGTGCAGTTTCATGGTCGTCAGACTGCACGACTCGAGGAACACCGTTCCTACTCCTAGATCCTCTGGGGGACGGATTGAGTTGGCATGGAAACCAAATGCACACATCTAGTGATCACTATTTGCATCTCGTTCGCAGTTTTTTTTAAAACTATTACTTCATGCAGCAGCGCAGCAGTCATTGCTTTTAGATTTTGGTCGTTACATCTTTTTGCTTCGCGGCCATCACTGCGGGCACCATCTCAGGGTTTCTTCTCAGGTTCGATCTCAAAAATCTCCACCTTCCACATACAGTGGTGGCCAAAAGTGATGTCCGGCACCCAAAAATGGGTGAATGTTGAGTGAGATTGGTTATTCTGGCCTGGTGATTCTTTCAATGACTTGCAATGCGGTCAACAATGGATTTTCGGGGGAAAGCATGACGTCATATATGTCACGTGACCTATTGCGTCACACAAATGGCTGCCACGTGCGGACATGACTTTTGGCCAAAAATGCGTACGCACATTGTACCGTACTACCGTAGTTTTTGACTGGCAATGCATGCCGGGAATTTGAAATCTTGCAAACACAGAGCTTCAGGAGTTGTCCTGGCGTGAATTTGTGACCGAGAGATTTCGTTTTGACCCCAATGGCTGGCAGGAAAGAGCTCTATGCTAGCACGAAGCTGGCCATTGTAAAGCTGAGTCAGAATGGTGAAAAATCTAGTCAGATTGCCAGGATTTTGGACCTGAACGAGCGTACGTGCCGTAGAGTCATTGCCAAACATAATGTCGATGGACGTGTTGAAAACTAGAAGTGTTCTGGCCGGCCCAGGGTGACCAGGGCCAGATACGACCATCGTCTAACGATACTCCATATGGCAGATAGATTCAAAACCAGCCCGAAACTGAGAGCTGAGACGACCTAGCAGACGGATTCACGGGTGTCTGGACGAACGGTGCGCAGGAGGCTGCAGAACGCAGGCCAAAAGGGCTGCATCGCAGTGAAAAAGCCTTTCATGTAGGCTAAAAATTTGAAAAACGACTAAAGTTTGACCAGGCCCACAGGAACTGGACAGTGGCAGATTGGAGTCGTGTGCTGTGGACTGATGAGTCAAAATTCAACTTCCATGCCTCTGATGGAGTGAGGTTTGTTCGCAGGAAGCCTGGAGAACGACACAGCCTGAATTGTTTGCGTGGTACTGTGAAGCATGGAGATGGAGATATCATGTATGGGGATGCTTGTCGGCGACGCGCGTTGGACGGCTTTTCAAGGTCGAGGGCATCATGACAGCCAACCAATACATGGGCATTCTGCAAAATGTCATGCTGCCGTCCATGACTGACCTTTTTGCTGATGAACAGGCTATTTTTCAGCAGGGCAATGACCCCAAACATACAGCCAAGGCAACCAAAGCATGGCGCGCGACGCAAGACTTGACGGTGATGGAGTGGCCACCACAGTCACCAGATTTGAATCCCATCGAGAATCTATGGGAAATGCTCAGCCAGCACTGCCAGGGCAACAGGAGGGCAAAAAAAACGATGGTGAGCTCTTCACTGAGTGCAAGCAGGCATGATATTCGATTTCATTGGATATCTGCCGCCGCCTCGTCGAATCGATGCCGCGCCGCATGGCGGTTATGATCAAGAACAAAGGAGGCCCAGTAAATTGGTACAGGCTGACTCCAGAGAGTCTGGCCTTAGTTTCTGTAGGGATTAGAACAGTTTAGATGAGAAATAGTTGACTCTACGCCGCGTATTGTAGATTGTGCAATATTGGCCAAAAGTGATGTCCGGCCGCACATTGCCATACTTAGGGATAGGGACACAGAAAATATACTTTTGTAAAATATTTTTGAATATTCTCCTCTAAACTTTGTATCTGCTCTAGAAAATGACAGGTGTACAGCTTGTTGTGCCATTTTGTTGAATATAACCCAGAAATCCACCTGCGGACAAGACTTTTGGCCACCACTGTACATGTAACAGTTCTGAAAGAGTTCCGTACTTGTTCTTCGAAAACAGTGTCAAGAGTACAACACTTCATAAGCTCTCTGGGAGTATTTTATTTTGTGTTGTGTCTATTTTATTTCGCCCGTAAAAGAGGCTGTGTGACTTGGGGACAACGTGTAGACTGTAGGTGATTTTAAAGGGTACTTGAAGGGTCATTGCTACATAAAGACTTGGATTGCACAATATTGTAACATTTTGAGGGATATGCCAAAAGGAAGCGGGAGAAACGATGTCGCACTGAATTCCTAAGCCGTCCCCCACCAGCTTGTCAACGAAGCCTTTCCGGCCAAGTGGATATACGTGTACGTGGACGCGTACCTGTACGTGTACAAGGCCAGGCAAGAGCAGGTACATGTACTGTATTCGTCGAAGTTTGTTTGTCGTTTTGAGAGACCATAGGGAGAGCTGCAAGCCTCTGGAATCTTCAAGGATGGCACTGATACAGTGTAGATCTACAAGCCGTGGTCTCAAGCCACAGGCACAGGGCTGCAGTCGTGCTGGTGCAGTGCCGGGCAACAGGAAGGGGGGGGGGGGGAGGAATTCAAACACCTTTCATTCAGGTGTGCATGTGGCAATCGAACGAGTGAGAAACCAGCTCCAGGATTTCAGTGAACAGGTAATAGTCTATGTTCTACAGGAGCACCACGCATGGCTGAGACCCATAAATTGGAAGTGCTAGTGTGCTGTGGCTCTCACGGTCTCAGAACCACAGACTCCCCCCCCCCCCCCCCATCCATGGGTGGAGAGACTGTCTGCCGAAAACATTGAGAAGCATCACTGTGGAAGCCAAAGCCATTGACTCAACAGAAGGAAGCAAAGCGGAGGGTTTTGTTTCTAAGACCCTTCGGTTCAACCACAGGTGATAACGAGTAACCGCAGCAATCAGAACCAGTGCGGACTGTGATGTAGTACTTAAAGGGAATAGGCACTGACAGATCAACCTGTCCTCGGTACTAGCTGCATTATTAGTACCCAGCCGACCACCTTTGTCCAGCCGAAACCTCACAGAGAGGAACCTCGCGCAGTTGTTGAAACATACAACGAGGAGAGGAAGGTCTTGGGCGACTCTGAAATCTTCACCACATGTCTTTTCTCCCTTTCCATCGGCATCATAACATTGGGCATGATTGCCCGTTTGACTTGCGATGTAAAATAAAAACAAATACAATGAGACTCGGAGTTCCTCTAGTCCTAAGGTCTCATCAGTGAAGGTTGAGAATAATGAATGGCTAGAGTATATTTGAAAGCACGGTTTTATACATAGAATGAAGTTCTTTCCGCAGATTGAGTACGTGGAATGAAATCAAGAAGCGCGAATCCCGCACTGAAGTAACGTACGTGCTAAGAGCTACTTGAAGTACGGAGAAAAGGTGCAAAATGACACTGCTATACGCCATAAGTGTACTGCGGACATCATTGATACCTGCGCAACAGATTCTAGCACTGAGAAATACAAGCCTCCCATTATATAATGGAACTCCCTTCAATTTAGACTACGTCTTTGGGAAATCCTCAAATATATAGAATATAATATAAATCATGTAGCATTCTGATAAATAGGGTTGGCAGTCAGGGGCGTCGGAAGGTAATTTAGTGTGGTACGGTCAGCCATCTGAAGTACAATTTACTCGTGGGGGAGTGGTGGCTGAGCCGAATATTTTGGAAATTTAGAGCCCAGATCAGTGCATTTTATCGAATCACGGGATATTTGGGGCAAATAGTGATACGGTCAATACCGTAGTGACCGTACCGTGTGCGACGCCCCTGGCAGTTCAGACTTAGCACTCCAACACAGCACGGCAAGTAGTCACGTGAGAGAATCAAAACTGATTGAAGAAGAAACGACGATAAAGAACACGCCTGGTGCCA